CATGTGTGTGCTGAGAATTAAACCCGGGTCCTCTGGAAGAGCAGTCTTAACTACTGAGCCATCTCTCCAGTCCCAACAGAATCTTTAAAGAATGATCCTGTTTTTGCACTCAGGAGGCAGAGGCAGGTGGATCTCTGTGAGTTCGAGGCCAGCCAGGTCTACAGAGTGAGTTCCAGGACAGGCAAGGCTACATAGAGAAACCCTGTCTCAAAAAAAAAAAAAAAAAAAAAAAAAGATCCTGTTTTCAACTTTTCCTGTACACACCCAGAAATGGAATTCTAGGGTCATATGGTCAATTCCATTTTTGTGCGGGGGGGGGGGGGGGGGGGGGGGGGGGGGGGGGGGGGGGACGGGGACGGGGACGGACGGACAGGGTCTGTGTATGTACAGCCTGGCTTTGAACTCTGTGTAGCCCAGATTAGTCTCAAACTCAGTGTTTTGTGGCAGAAAGGAGAAGCATAACTAATTCATTCAAAAGCCTTTGCTCAAGCAACAAGTCTTTGTCCTAGCAACTATTAAAGCATGCTGGAAAGCCTCAGTAATTTAGATAGTATGTTACCATGTATGACAGAACACAGATCAGAGTCCCCAAGATACAGATACTTAGAATAATATGCACATGGCATTCAGTTCTTTTTTTTTTTTTTTTTTTTTTTTTTTTTTTTTTTTGGTTTTTCGAGACAGGGTTTCTCTGTGTAGCTTTGCGCCTTTTCCTGGAACTCACTTGGTAGCCCAGGCTGGCCTCGAACTCACAGGGATCCGCCTGGCTCTGCCTCCCGAGTGCTGGGATTAAAGGCGTGCGCCACCACCGCCCGGCTGGCATTCAGTTCTTTAGGAAAGAATTTTGTTAGGATATCCTGGTGGCCATCTTACAAGGGCTATATTCCTTTCTACACCTTGCATTGGACATCAGGATAAAATGAGTGACTCTCACAGATCTTTTAAATAATGAGTCAAGATTCAGAAACCATGAGACACTAATTATGCACATAAACTACATACATAAACAACTATATAGAGAGAATTCAATTATATACACAAAACAAGGAAAAAGAGACTCTCTGAGTTGTTGTTTCAAGCTAGGGTGTCATTGTAACCCAGGCTGGCCTGGAACTCACTGTGGCCCAGAGGGGCCTCAAACACCCCCTGCCTCAGCCTCCTTAATGCTGGGGTTCAGGTTGGAGGAAACATATTTGGCAACAACAACAAAACAGAAAAATACCTGAGTGTATTAGTTAGGGTTTTCTAGAGGAACAGAACTGGTCGAGTGAATATCTCTTCCTTTCTCTCTCGTCCCCCTCCCTCCCTACCCCCTCTCTCTCTACACACACACACACACACACACACACACACACACACACACACACACACACACACACACGTATAATGGACTTGCCAGCGAGAGCAAGAGCAAGCGGGCAAAGAGAGCAAGCGGGCAAAGAGAGCAAGCTTCCTTCTTCCACGACCTTTATGTAGGCTGCCAGATTAAAGGTGGATCTTGGAAGACCCTGGTTAAAAGTGGGTCTTCCCTCTTTAAGTGGGTTAATTAAGAAAAAAGTCTCTCACAGATGTACCCAGACGCTTGGGTTTTAGTTATTTCCGGGTGTACTCAAGTTGACAACAAAGAATAGCCATCACATTGAGCAAATCAAAAATAAATAACAAACTAGGGGGAAATACTTGTGGTTCATACTACAAGGACAGGGTTAATCAATTCAAAGAGCACTTTCAGTCATAGGAGACCAAGAACTGAAAGATGGGCAGAGCATGGGCAAGTCACAGAAAGATGTGGCACATGCCATCTGCAGAGATGCTCACTCATAGGAAAAGTGACTATAACTTGAACTTTTTTAGTGTGTGTGTGTGTGTGTGTGTGTGTGTGTGTGTGTGTGTATACACACGCCATGGTGTGTGTGTAGAGGACAGAGGACAACTCTTGGGAGTTGGTTCTCTTTCCACTGTGTTGGCCCCAAGGATTGAACTCAGGTTGTCTGGCTTGGTGGCAGCCACCTTCACCATCTCATTGGCCCTGAACTCACATCCTTCCTTAAGATCGGATCTCATGCATTTCAGGCTGTCCTGGAACTTGCTATATAGTTATAGATAACCCTGAACTCCTGATCCTCCTGCCTCTATCTCCCTAGTGCTGGATTACTTATATAGCCCACCATATTTAGTTTATGTGGAGCTAGGGACCAATCCCAGGGCTTAACACATGCTAGGCAAACACTCTATCAAACAAGCTGCATCCCCAGCCCAATTTGAACCTTAAATTTTTTTTATTTATTTTTATGTGTATGGGTGTTTGCCAGTATTATATCTGTGCACCATATATGTGCAGCACCCTCAGAGGCCAGAAGAGGATGTTGGATCCTCTGGAATTGGAGTTGCATATGGTTGTGAACTGGTGTGGGTGCTGGAAACCAAACCCAGGTCCTCTGCAAGAGCAGTAAGTGCTCTTAAACTCTGAGTTTTCTCTCCAGCCACCACACCACAAACTTGAACATTTTCATAGAATATATTTAGTAACTTTTTGGCAGTGTAATAAGACATGACTCCCCAGCTTCCTGAGTGTCCTGGGCAGCAGGCATGGTTGGCACTGTAAGGTTGGAAGGTTAGCACAGGGGATAACAGTCCTGCTGTACTTCTGGTGCCTTTGGGTTATGATAGCCAAGCTCAGGAGAATTAAACAAAGACTTTGCGGTTTTATTTGTTTCTAACTAGAAAGTAACCTGAGAGTGGAGGGTGTGGACATTTCTAGAGAGCCACACTGAGCTGTCTCAGGTTCCCTGGAGAAGGCAGGGCACTGTTCTCAGGGCCACGCTGTTATGGAATATTATTTTAACTGGGTAAAGTTGTGTTACATTTGTTTCTGATACTTTTGTTAACATGCAAAGAAGTGTTACATTTGTTTGATTAAATAAAATCAACCTGGGGTCAGGAGGCTGAGTCAGCAACTAGCTGACAGGAAATGGTAGGGAGGAACTAAGGGTAGCAAGTGTTAGGATTCTGTCACCACTCCAGCTGCATGACCGCACATGCCCAGTTCAGTAATTAAGCAAGGGATCTCACATCTTATGTCATCTGTGTGCTGCGTGACATAGCTCTGTAAGCCTACCTGTGCATGTGCATGGGAATCCTTAAAAAGCCAGACACAGACTCCACTCTCCTCTCTGTGTCGTGTGTCATCGGGTCGTCCTGTCCCTGTCCGTCCCCCCCCCCCCCGCCCCCCCCCCGCCCCCCCCCCCCCCCCCCCCCCCCCGCCCCATCTCTCTCTCTCTCTCTGCTCTCTGCACATGCTTCTTCCCCAGGCGTGGTTCTTTTGTCGTCCTCCCCAATAAAGCTCTGATACTGGGTTTTGTCGTGGCTTGTGACCTTTCTGCACAGTAACCAGCACCACTTACCATTTTCAAAACAACAGCGAAGGTTAAGTGGGGGCTGAGCAGAAGGATGCCCTTTTTCGGGAGACGGGAGCAAGGAGAGAAAGTTAGCTACTTGCTATTTAGCCTCTTGAGTGAGCAGGATTTCACCTCAATCTTTGAATCCTGACTTCTATAGAAGGATAGAGATTTAGATAAAGTTTCCTTTAGTGGCTGGGATAGAGCCAGTGCCTGAGGGAACGGAATTCCTGCCCGGCTGTGGCCTGTGCGCTCAACCACTGCTGGCCCCTGCTGAGTTGCAATTGCCGGTTGGGGCAGCATTTGCTTAAGGTGCAGCCACCGTACTGCACCTTAATGCAAAACAACACGACTAGGCCTCCCATCACCCACACCAGCGGCCTTCACAGAACAGCCTGCTCTAGGAACATCCCGACATCACAATGAGAAAGAAGACTCTGTCTCTTGGCTTGCACTTTCTGTATATTTATCAGCCGACCTTCTGCTTGCTGTGTTTTGAGATTTTATAAACCAACAGTAGAGCTGGGCAGCAGCGGTGCACACCTTTGATCCCAGCACTCAGGAGGCAAAGGGAGGCAGATCTCTGTGAGTTCGAGGCCAGCCCGGTCTACAGAGTGAGATCCAGGACAGCCAGGGCTACACAGAGAAACCGTGTCTTGAAAAACTAAAAAACAAGCCTGGCGGCGGTGGTGGCGCACGCCTTTAATCCCAGCACTTGGGAGGCAGAGCCAGGTGGATCTCTGTGAGTTCGAGGCCAGCCTGGACTCTACCAAGTGAGTTCCAAGAAAGGCGCAAAGCTACACAGAGAAACCCTGTCTCGAAAAACCAAAAAAAAAAAAAAAAAAAAGAAAAAGAAAAACTAACAAATAAACAAAATCCAAAAAACCAACAGCAGAACTCTAGGGCTGATGTGCCAGATAATCTTTGTCTAAATAAAGCTCAATTTTATTCTACAGCAAAAATGATGATGATGATGATAAAGAATGGGACTTGGGAATTGTGATTTGACAGAAATGCCTTATAGGTCCCGATATTTGAACACTTAGTCTGGAGAGGTTCTGGAACCTTCAGGAGGTGGAGGCTTCCTGGAAGAGGGGTTTCATACCTTTGCCCACTTCCGGTTTGCTTTCTCTGCTTCTTGATGTGAAGACTCAGCCCCCTGCTCCAGCTGCCTCCCCACCATGATAGACTGTCACCTCCTGGAGCCCTAATCCAAAATAAACTTTCTTGTATACATTGCTTTTGGCCACAGTGTTTTATCACAGTAATAGAAAGTAACTAATACAGGGGTATGGTTCAGAGGTAGAACATTCTGGGGCTAGCGAGATGGTGGGTAAGGGCACCTGCTGCCAATCCTGTCCACCTGAGCTTGATGCCAGGGACCCACATACATGGTGGAAGGAGAGAACTGACCACCCATTTCACATGTGGGGCTCACGTGGGTGCGTGTGCGTACACACACACTCACAATGTAAAAAACATTAATTCCTTGGTCACACTAGCCATGTTTAGAGTGCTCAGGAACCATGTGTGGATGACTAGGCAGAACTGGCATGAAACATTCTGCTAGATGGCTGCTGAAGTATTAGCCAGACACAGGACTCCACGGGTACTGCTGATTTTTAATTAAATACCACTTTATAATGTTATCTGCACACAGTACACACATTTTTGTGAACTAACACATGCTGTATTAGTTTTGATGCTAAAAAATATAAGCATCTAGAGACTGTATTCTAGAGTGACTTCATTTACAAGGCGGCTCCAGTGTCAGTGAGGACTGGGTCACATTTGAAATTTGTGAGACTGCAGGGTTGGGAGGGCCTAGTCCTTCTCTGAAGGCCACCTGCATCTGTTCGCATGGTGCCCTCCATCTGGCTGGGTCCACTGGAAAAGCAACCTTCAGCTCTCCTTCCCAGCACTACTCAGTTCTTCTTCTTCTTCTTCTTCTTCTTCTTCTTCTTCTTCTTCTTCTTCTTCTTCTTCTTCTTCTTCTTCTTCTTCTTCTTCTTCTTTGGTTTTTTGGGACAGGGTTTCTCTGTGTGGTTTTGGTGCCTGTCCTGGATCTCCACTCTGTAGACCAGGCTGGCCTCGAACTCACAGAGATCCGCCTGGCTCTGCCTCCTGAGTGCTGGGATTAAAGGCGTGCCCCACCACTGCCCGGCCCAGCATTCAGTTCACTGATTCCCCAACCCCTGGTGCTGAAAGCGAGGGTGTCATCAGGCTGCAGTGTGGGGTCAGGGCTCCCCTCTTCAAAGAACAAGAACATTTGTTTTCATGTCTAATCATGACCCAGAACCCCAACCTGCAGACAGAACAACGAGCCAAAGTCGGGGTGGGAGAGGAAGAGAAGAAATGAAGCTTGGCCTATACTGGATGAACTGTGGGAGGTACCTTGTGGCTGGCAGAGAGGCGGCAGCGTGGCATTTAATGTTGCCAGGAGAGTTCAGATGGGAGTCGGACAAGGTAGTATACGGCCATAATCCCAGTACTCTGGAGCCTGAGGCAGGAGGATTGGGAGTTCAAGACTAGCCTGGGCTACATACTGAATGCCTGTCTTCAGGGTGAGTGTAGGTAAGAACAGGAGTGGCTGGTGCTGTCAGAGCCAGGAGTGAAAACAGTCAGGGCTGTGGGTGGGAAGTGGGCGGCCCCGCTGTCACCTGACAATCCATTGACTCCTGGGGGCAAAGCAGGGCATCTAGGACAGGGTGGGAACTCTCAGGTCTCCCACTGCCCAACGGCCCTGCCCCATCTCCACTCTGGAGCTCAAAGGCCTTTCTGCTCAGCTCTCATGGTCCAGCTTGTAAGATGGTGGCCACTGTCCCCAGCCTAAAAGCCATCGAGCTGCCCAGGCCCAGGAAGCAGTTCTTGGGTGGCACTGCCCACCCCGTCTGCCTTCCTGCAGTTACAGTGCACGTGTACCTCAGGCTGGCCAGGGCTAAACAGCCCACAGAAGAGGGAGGGAAGGGGCAGAGGGAGGCTGGGCAAACATACCATGCCCAAATGATGGGTGCCCACCTGGGCTTGCCACACTTCACCTCCCCACTCACTTCTTTGCATACACTGCTAGGCACTGACAGGCACTATCAGAACAGAAGCAAAACCTGATTTTAGTTCTCTAATCTTAGCTCTTTCTGCCACCACCTAGGAATGCATGAAAATCACCTCCAATTCTGAACACCCTTTGAGTTCAGGGGCCAGCCTCCCCAGGGCCTCTGTGACTCTGTGCTTCTCCGTGGCACAGCCTGCCCCACCCAAGATTGTGTGTCTCCCTCTGTAGGCCTGGAGGGCAGAACTACTCGGGCTAAACATAGGGTTAAAAACCCCTCAGGTGTTGCTGAGCTGAGCTGGAGAGCCCTCTCTCTGCTGCCATCCCAACCTTAGGCACGTTAAGCCACAATACAGACATGGTCAAGATGGAATACGGAAGTTGCAGAGTGCTGGAGTCGGAGCACTGTTTGGGTGTAAAGAGCTGTGACGAGGATGGCCTGTCAACACTGATCTATTAACACTGTCACCTTAGAGTGGTGTTCACTGGGTAGGGACCGCTGCAGGCCCTAGGGGGCCAGCTAGCTTGCCCACAGAACCCAGAGAGGGTAAGAAATTGGAGGTTCGAACCTTCTGGCAGGGGTGTGTAGCCCCTCTGGATTTAGTGGCCCATGAGGCTACTGAGGGAGTATGCTCTCTGCTCTGTGGGTTCTGGGACTCAAGATCTCCTGTGATGCCCACTAATAATGGGTCCCACTCCAGGTCCCCCGAACCAGGTCACTACAGTTGGAGTGAGGAACCCACATTTTAAACAAATCCCTATGGAATCCTGATGCCCATAAAAACCTGCAAGCCTTTGCCTGCCACTCTCAAATGCGCTTATTGGTCCAGGGTCCGAGGTGGCGGTGGGGGAGCTAATCATGAAAGAGATAGGAAGAAAGCTGCAGACCTGTGTGTGAAAATACCTGCTCTGTCTGGACCAAGCTGGAGGCCAGAGACCCCGGTGGCCCAAAGATGGGAAACGGCAGATGAAACTTAGCGGGTGGTCTAAAGGGCGAGGAAGGGGAGGAGATAGATGTGGATCTGCACCAGGGCTCTGGACTCTTCCCAGGAGCCAGGTGTGCCGGGCAAAGAGCAGCTTGTCCTGCTTGGACCTCAGCACATCCTCTGTGAGGCTGGACAGGAAAGTCACTGGGACAGGAAAGTCACTGGGACAGGAAAGTCACTGGGACAGGAAAGTCACTGGGACAGGAAAGTCACTGGGACAGGAAAGTCACTGGGACAGGAAAGTCACTGGGAACTTTTCTTACCAGTTGGAAATAGAGAGGGCTGAAGGCACACCCCCCCACCCCCGCCTCCTTGTTCCTGTCCCCCTCGCCCTCTGCCCTCTTGACTTCTTTGGATGGAGGAAACAATGAAATCATCTTCACAGGACTTGAACCAAGCCGGTTTTCAGAACAGGCCCAGCAGACACTCCCCACCAGGCCTTCACAGAAGGAAGGCCCGTGTACACCACCACGGTGCAGATGACATCTTGCTCCACTCAGGGCTGGCCCTGCTGGGCCCGGCAAAGGGGACACCAATACAGTCAGAGCTACGGACTCATGAGTGAACCAGGTAGAGCTGAGGCATGCGTGTTGGGTAAAGGAAGACCGACTTTGCTGGATTTGCAAAGAGGGAGCAGACTGTCATGTTTTCACTCTAAGGAACGCGTGGTAGCCTGCAATCACTACCTGATGCTCCCTGACCGTCCAAGGAAGGAAAACGGCTTCAACCCCCACTGGGCTAACCTGCCACACAGCTCACCTGGGATACTCCCCAACTACTTGAAATCTCCAAGGTCAAGGTCATTGAACAGCTTCTCTGTCAGAGACAAGGGCCTCCCAAGATCATCTTGCAGAGTTCTCAGTTTAAAACCGGGATACTTGAAAGGCAGGTTGGACAAAGAGTGGAACCGTGAGTGGCCTGTGGGCAGGTATACCCCCAAGGGAGGCAGATCACTCCTTCTTGGTGTGCTCCAGGACACGGTAGGGAACCCCAGGGGTGCTTCTGGAGCTATGCTCCTCCTGCATGACGGGCAGTGTGGCCGGGGTGTAGATCTCAGAAATGTTGTCATTGTTTTCCAAGGCCCCGTAGGAAAAAGAAGCTTTGAGGTCAGGCTGGACCGTTGTCCCTTTCGCATGCATGTCCTGCATCCCTGAAATGACATCCATGTCCCCAGTCATCACGGAGGAAGGGAGGCTACATTTCCCCCTCTCCCACCACAGACCATCCAGAGCTCAGGGGCTGATCAAGTGCAGTGCTGATCCCCCAGATGCCTTAGAGTGAAGAGGAAATACTCAAGTTTACATGGGAGGAAGGAACGTATTTGCATCCCAAGCGGCAGGTGGACAGGACAGAACCCCGTGCCCTGGACGTGGTAGATGCCACTTTGCTGTTGAATGAACTCAGGGATCCAGGAAGCTTTCTTACTATTGAGGAAATAGGGTGACTTTTGCATCCTGGATACCCAGCAATGTGAGAGTAGCATTGTGATGACTGGTGGCAGTGTTTGACCTTTGACCTTAAGATTCCATATCTATATGCAGGGTGAGGTGTGATTTCCATTTCCATTTAGGGCAAACAAAGACCCAGTTTTGTTCTTGTTGTTATTGTGTTATTACTGTTTTTAGAGACAGGGTCTCACTTTATAACCCTGGCTGACCTGGAACTTTCTAAGTACATCAGGCTGGCCCTCAATCCACTGCTTCTGCCTCCTAAACACTAGGGTTATAGGCAGGCACCTTCATGCCTGGCTTAAAGAACTTAAACTTCAATTCCTGTGACCTTCTTCTACTGTCCCTCCAGGGGATCACTTGGAGGCCAACTCTTTCCCTCACTACATGCCAAGTGTCTCCTGTGAAAAGATGGTAGCAGCCGGCCTCTCACTGCCTGGCATTCCCTCTGCACTGACCTAACACCGCACAGCCAGAGACCGACACCAGCAGCGTTGGCGGTGGCTGAGGTGTGCTGGTATTTAGATGGCAACAGGTGTTGTTTCAAGTGCTCACCCAATTTCGTCTCATCTGATCCTTGAGGCCATGGAATACAGACAGAGAGCGGGAAGCAACGTACCCGAGAGCCACAGCTGTTGAGAGGCAGAGGCAGCGTTTAACACAAGGGTGTTTAAATCTAAAGCCTGGGTTCTTAACTGGAGTGGTATTCGGCCTCCCTACAGACTGAACTTAATCCCTAAACAACTCTAGGACAGAGATAAACTAGTACCCTCACTTCCTGGATTAAAAAAACCAGGTTCCAAGAGGCAAAGTAGTAGCATGCCCAAGGTCATACAGCTGAAGAGCAGCCGGGACCTAGCTCGGGAGCCTGCAGCTGTAACGTCAGCTGAGGAGGGCCACTAGCCTTCTGGGTAACAGATGTAATCGATGTCTCAGGGACCAGTTTAAGAGCCAATGGTCTGTGCTTGGACCGCAGCTCCATCGGCAGAGTGCATGCCTGCTTGCCTAGCATGCACAAAGCTTTGGTTTGGATCCCAAGCATCACATAAAATTGGGCATGATGGCACACACCTGTAATCCTAGCATTTGGGAGGCAGAAGCAGGAGGTTCAGAAGTTCAAGGCAATCCTCTGTCATATAGAGAGTCCATGGCCAGTCTGGGCTACAAAAGACTCTATCTTTTTTTTTCTTTAAAAAAAAAAAAAGGTCTATGGTTTGGGGCTCATGGGTGCGGCAGGGCAGGTAAGGGTGTCTACTGCTCAGGGCAGAGTTAGTTTACCAAGCATTGCATAGCTTTGAATTTTGTCAATGCCTCCAGCCTTATACCACCAGTCCACAAGAGTGTGACGGGTGTGGATATGCACTGTAGAACATGGGGCATTTAGGGGTATCTATTAGGAGTCTTAGGTTTGGGTTGGGGGGCCTGAGGAGAGTTCAGGATTTGATGCTGTTAGGAAATGGGCTACTTCTGTCCCCGAAGACACCTTACAGATTCTCTTTTAGAAGACTGGACAGGGCTCAGGCTGTGGTATAAGTCAGCACTGACTGGCATTCAAGCCGGGCTAGGAACAGCACCTCTGCTTTCCATGGCTTGGACAATGTTCATGCTGGGTCTGTATTCAGACATGGTAACGGAGTGCTCTTGTCTTTGTAGACACCCATCTGGATGAGCATGGCTCTACTGCTGATTGAGAAATGGTTTCTATTGGGCCAAGGACAACAGAGCCAGTGGAGGTCCCATTGAGCCTGATGGCCAGGGCTGCTGTTCTCTTTATCCATCCAAGAAAGCCTCCAACTGTGATATATCCTGGAATCTGAAGTCATCAAACCAGACAGTCAAAGGCCAGACCACATGACCAGAGAAACCAAGGAACTGGAGAAGTGACTCTATGGATGACCAGGCCAGTCAAGTGCTGAAATACTGAACTCGTGTGTGTGTGTGTGTGTGCGCGCGCGCGCGCGCGTGTGTGTGTGTGTGTGCGTGTGCGCGCGCGTGTGTGTGTGCGTGTGTGTGTGTGTGTGTGTGTGTGTGTGCGTGCGTGTGTGTGTGTGTGTGTGTACAAATGTGCCCGTGTATGCATGCAGAAGCCGGAGGTTGACGCTGAGTGTCTTCCCTGACCGCTCTCTGCTTTAGGATTTTTGAGTCAGGGTCTTTCCCTGACTCTTGAGCTCACTGATCAGTTACTCTGCCCCTGCCACCACTAGCACTTTAGACACCCTGCTGGGCCGGGCTTTTATGTGTGTGGGTGCTGGGGATCTGGATGTGGGTCCTCATACCTGCAGAGCAAGGATTTCATGCACTGAGCCATCTACCCAACCCCCAAACTTCTAAGTTTTTCAAGAAAAATGGAAGCAAAGGCAAAGTTAGTCAGGCATCTACTACATCCCAGGCACTGTGCCCAAAGCCTTGACACACATGCACCCCAAAACCCAGAGATAGGGGGTCCCGTTTATGTGTGAGGATGAGAGGCCTCAACACGTCATATGGGGGAAGGTGGCAGAGTTTGAATCTGAATCAGGCCACGTGAACTCTATGTGTCCAGTAGGATTGTCTCAATTGTAACTTTGATCTTCAATGCCTCATTTCCTACTGGTCATGAGGTATAAGAGCCACACCCACAAACTGGTCATGGACTCCTGGTATCTAGGATCAGCTGATGTCAACCCCTTACTTCCCATCAGAGGAAGACATCTGTATATATGTACATAGGAACATGTGTATGGACAGACACACAGTTTACAAACACACAGACACACAGGGACATACACATACTCGCACACAAAGTTGACACCTCACCTATCTGGGATTCAGCTATCCAGCGCCCTCATCTATCCGGAACACAGCCGAGAAACAAGGAAGTAAGCAGAAGAGGCATCTGAGCAGCCAGGTTCGACGTTAACACAGTCCACGCACTTACAGCCCGAGCCCTGAACTGCCAGGAGAAACCTCAGGGCCCCACTCAGCCACTCTGCATTTATCCACACGTGGCTGAGTCGGGTCACATGGAAATGCTGTCATGGGGTTCTCTACTCCTACTCAGGCAGGCTGGCCACAGCAAGCAGGGCAGATGGCAGCTTAGTAGAGCAAGATAAAACAAACAAACCAGTAAGCGGATGCAGCCGGGGCCACTCGACACGGGAGCACATCAACCAGTCCTGAGAACACACTTGGGTCATGGCATCGAAACCTCAAAGCTCAGTGAGTCACGCTGCTATGCAGCCCAGGTTGGTCTCGAATTCATGATCCTTCTTGCCTTAGCCTCCCAAATGCTGGGATTGTAGGTGCATGCCACTACGAACATTTAAGAACTGCTCTCAACTAGGGAGTATTTTATGTGGCTGACATACGTGTTCATGCTTTGTTCACAGATTGTGTGACTGGAGAATGGGTGATTATGCTGTGGAAAATGTAGAAGATTCAGGCATGACCTGGCAGCTAGCCTACCTGGCATATTGCACCTCCAAATAAGAAGCATGGCACACCACGCTCCTAAAGTCGGAACACTGAATTCTGAAGTAGCCTGAGTAGCCAGTTACTGGCCTGGAGATGAGTCTGCACTCTACCCTCCCAGCTTTTTTAAAGATTTATTTACTTATTATGTATACAGTGTTCTGCCTGCATGTGTCCCTGCAGGCCAGAAGAGGGCACCAGATCTCATTACAGATGGTTGTGAGCCACCATCTGGTTGCTGGCAATTGAACTCAGGACCTCTGGATGAGCAGCCAGTGCTCTTAATGGCTGAGCCATGTCTCCAGTCCCCATATATTTTCTTTAATGTGCTTTTTCTGCATAGAGATCCTGATGGTATGAATGCCCACTGTCCAATCTGAGGTAATGTGCTAAGCAATCATAGTAGGCTTCTACAGTGTAAGTGGCTGCTCACATGAAATAAAGCAGACACGGTTCCCTGAAAATGTCTCCAGAGTAGCTCAGGTCTGTGCCCTTTACTAACTCACGGGCATTGCTGTCTTGTTGGGGGAACACCCCAGTAATGGCGACAGAGAGTCGCACCTTGTATATTTCAAATAAAGATTACTTTTGGGTTGGAGTGGTAATGTTAGTTGACATTGGTAGCCTGAAGAATTGATACCAGCCGAACTAACGCAGGCTAATCCAGTCTTAACTGTCCCACTCAGCTTTCCTAGCTCACCACAAGCCCCACTCCTCCCGATCACCTTGTGTTTGGCTGACTGCTAAACGTTCTCGCCAAGGCTGAACACCATCTGAGCTGGTGGTCTCAGTGTGGGCCCTCACTGAGAAAAGTCCCTGGAAAAGTACCAAGGTGCAGGATGGAGTTAGAGCGTTGGATTCACTCATGTTAGTTTTCTTCCTCTCTGTGATCACTCTGTCTCTGTTTGCAGGCTCAGGGCCTGGTACTGCTGATTGGAATCACACGTGGTGTAAGTCAGGGTTTTCTTTCGAAGACCCTGTGACAGACTTGGAAACTGGCAAGGGGTTCTCAAGGCCGACCGAGGTGCCTCAGCCATCACCTCCTCATTAAAAGAGATACAAACCAACAAAAAACAGCTGGAACTCACGCCACAGCACATCTGTCCCGCACCTCGTTTCCAACACCAAGTAGCAGTCACTCTACAAGGGCAGCCAGCAGGGCACGGGGCGGGGGGTGGCGGAGGGGGCACTGTTACCTGGCATGGCGTCCATGGAAATATAGGGCTCGAACGGAATGGCCTTCTTCCTGTTTCGAGTGATTAAGAATACACCTAAGAAGGCGATGAGGCACCTGAAGACAGGAGACAGGAGAAGAGGAGGAGGGATGAGACCAGGAGCAACCTCGAGGAGACGAGGAGGAGGGGGACTCGAGGGCAAGTGGCTGAGGGCCAGCTAAAGAGAAGGCTGAGACCACGAGGCCTGCAACCAGCAAGGAACAGACACTGTGCATAATAACAGCAGGGGCGGGGACGGAAGGGGGGGCCCGCCATAGGGGTTACACACATCACAGTCCCCACAAACGGGGTTCAGAGTTGTTGACAAGAGTCTCCAGGGGAGCTGGGCAGTTGTAGTGGGTAGCCATTCCAGCTTTGATCTGGAAGTTCCAACCCCCATTGAGACTTCGGCAATTGTCACGCCTACAAGGCGGGGCCAAGGGAGGCGCCGGGGGACCCGAGATCTGGATCGGCGGGCGCTCTCTCTGTTGCGGGACCCTGGACTGGAGAGGTGGACTGAGCAGAGCTCCAGAGAACACCGCTGGACTGTGATACATCTTCCCCAGACTCCGCGACCTACCTATTCCTTAATTTGTAAGTTACGCCATTAAATAAATCTCCTTTTAACTACGTGGAGTGGCCTTAATAATTTCACCAATATCTGGCGCTCACGTGGGGCAAGTTCCAAAGGCCTGGGTGGCTCCCGCCCTCAGCCTTCTCCCCGGCTGGCGGGTACCTAAACCCGCCTGCAGAGTTCCATAGAACCAGGGAACGCCTACACGGTTCCATTCCCGAAAAAGGGAGCAGCTAGTCCGGTCTCAGCTCCCTAGCTTAGCCCCCAGACCAGCGAAAAACCGCTGTGAGTGAGGCGATCCCCCTTCTCCCCGAGTGCGGGCCCCGGCTCCCGCCATCCGGCTCCCACCATCCCGGCTCCCGCCATCTGGCTCCCCGTCGGGGAATCGAACCCCGGTCTCCCGCGTTAGAACTTTCTTATTTAGACAAAAAGGGGGAGATGTAGTGGGTAGCCATTCCAGCTTTGATCTGGAAGTTCCAACCCCCATTGAGACTTCGGCAACTGTCACGCCTACAAGGCGGGGCCAAGGGAGGCGCCGGGGGACCCGAGATCTGGATCGGCGGGCGCTCTCTCTGTTGCGGGACCCTGGACTGGAGAGGTGGACTGAGCAGAGCTCCAGAGAACACCGCTGGACTGTGATACACCTTCCCCAGACTCCGCGACCTACCTATTCCTTAATTTGTAAGTTACGCCATTAAATAAATCTCCTTTTAACTACGTGGAGTGGCCTTAATAATTTCACCAATAGGCAGTAGTGGCACACACCTTTAGTCCCAGCACTCTGGAGGCAGAGCCAGGTGGATCTCTGTGAGTTCAAGGCCAGCCTGGTCTACAGAGCAAGATCCAGGAAAGATACAAAGCTACACAGAGAAACCCTGTCTCAAAAAACCAAACCAAACCAAAACAAAGAGTCTCCAGGGCAAACGCCTACAGTGTGTGGCTCGTCCGCTTCCCTCCGGCCAGTGTTCTAAAAAGCATGTCTTTGAAAAAGCCCCATTTTTTAAAACTAAAAACATTCATTTTCTATTTTATTATTTTTCATTTTTTTTTTGGTTTTTCAAGGATTTCTCTGTGTAGCCTTCGCTGTCTTGGAACTCGCTCTGTAGATGAGGCTGGCCTCAAACCTTCCTGTCTCCGAGTGCTGGGATCAAAGTCACCACTGCCTGGCTTAAAAAAAAAATTCTTTTATACTGACTGAATTCAAATCATAAAGTATAGCAAAATGCAAATGAATAAATACTAGGAAGTCCCTGTGTCTCCTAATCTAACTCCCTCAGGGGCTGGATATTCTTCAAGCTCTCTCTCTCTCTCTCTCTCTCTCTCTCTCTCTCTCTCAGGCTGGCCTGAACTCACAGATTTACCTGCTTCCGCCCCACCCGCCACCCCCAGGGCAGGTGTGTGCTGCCACCTGACTCAGTTTTCCTTTTCTTTCAGTTTATGTAAACAAGCAGGTGCTCAAAATCAAGGTGCAATTTACAAGCAGTAATGTATAAATCTCAAGAAGGATGGAAGGCTTGTTTCTAGTAATGTGTGTGTATGTTCACCTCCCAGGTCAAGATCAAAAGATGTCCATCCCTCTAGAACAGTGGTTCTCAACCTTCCTAATGCTGTGACCCTTTACTACATTTCCTCATGTTATGGTGACCCTCAACCATAAAATTACTTTGTTGCTACTTCATAACTGTAATTTTGCTACTATTATGACTCATAATGTAAATATCTGGTATGCTAGAGATCTGATATGTGACTCTGTGAAAGGACCATTTAACCCCCATAGGGGGTCACGACCCACAGGTTGAGAACCACTGCTCTAGAGCGTTCTATGCAGCTGTGGGTGACCTTGAACTGATCCTCCTGCCTCTATCTTCTAAGTGCTGGGATTAGAAGCATGTGTCACAATGCCTGGTTTCATTCGGTGTGGGGATGGAATCCAGGGTTTGGAGCACGCCAGGCAGGAACTGTATCAAAAGAACCCTCGCCCAGTTTCCTGGAAGGACCTCGTGTCTTCTCCTCTCCTCTTCAGGCCCCACCATGCCCAGAGTCTCTACTGCCTGACTTTTCTCCTCACGAGTTACATTTACCCGAAATGACAAGAAGAGAGAAGACTGCAGGCCTTTGGGGGAGCAAGCTGCTCACTTTGGGGGCCAGCACCCTCCCGCTAGCAGCTCTCCCAACCCCAGGAGCAGGGCTGAAGCAATGGGGCGGCGGCGGGGGGGGGGGGGGGCAAGGTCTGGCTAGATGGGGTGTGACTCACCCCAGTGCAAACATGCAGATGTGCAGAGCTTCCTCCCCGAGGAAGTCCAGGTAGAAGATTGCACCTGCGCAGCAGTGAGGGAGAGAAAAGATCATGACCGTTTCCAGACCTGCCCTGTGCCCATCCCGGGGAGGCTCTGGTTATCTGCTCTTCTGTGCAGGTACCAAAGTGACCAAAACCACTAGGACTAACACGTTTGGAGGCAGACAATCTTTTCTGACTGCCCTCTCAGGCTCTTTATATCTCCATATTCAGACAGACTTTTGGGATGGTATTAAACCGCTCCAAATAGCAAAGTTCTCGTATATGCTTCCTCTAACAGCATCTCCTATCATTAACCACAGGTCATGATAACTTTCCTGCCTCAGCTTCCCAAGTGCTGGGATTACAGGCTCCAGCCACCGACCCTGGTTTGTTTGTTCGTTCCTTCTTCTCCTCCTGCTGCCCCGCCCCCGCTCCCCTCCCCCCCTTTTTTGACAGAGTCTCATGTAGGGCAGGCTGGCCTCAAACTCCTTATATGTAGCCAAGGATGTCTTTGAACTTCTCGTTCTCCTTCTTCTACCTCCCAAGTGCTGGGATGACATATATGCAGAGCCAGACCTGGTTAATGCAGCATGGAGGATGGAACCCAGGGTTCTGTGCACACTAGGCCAGCACTCTACCAACAGAACCACTTCCTAGCCCCAAATCCAAAAGCAGGAGGAACAGGGGATGTTTGGATTGTACATATTGCAGTTCTAGAGAGGAAGTGTTATTAGGAAGGTAGAACTAAGGCTTAGAGAAGGTAACTGATCATTCCCTGAGCCACGCAGTCGGCATATGTCTATTGGAATGCAAGCCTCCATCTCCAAATCCCATACCTTCCACAAAAACCCGCAGGCAGGTCCAGAAAGCCGAATCAGCTGAGAGGTAGGCTCTCAGGGACAATGCCCCTCTGCTTAGGCAAGAGACGGAAACTCAGTAACGGCTACTCTTACCTGCTGTGATGGCCGCAGTGGTGGACAGGATGTAGCCTACACTGGCGATCAAGGAGGAGTCATAGATCTGAGACGCTTGACTCAAAAACCTGCAACACACAGGTACTTGGGTCAGTGGGCTAAGGGGTAAGAGTGGAACTTGGGGTATAAAGCAAGGCATGGGGGAGAGTTTCTAGGTCTATAAGAGTGGCCTCTCCCTATTACAGGGCACTGTGCATCCCAAGATTTGGGGTCTGAGCTTGGCCCACAGACTGAGGCCCGTCTGCAGCATGCCTCTGACTGTATGACTCTGGCCATTGCCACACCCATCTGCCCTTCTCCTCACTCCTGATCCCCACCTCACTGGACAGAGCTGCTCCTGGGTCCCACACACATCCCAGGACACTCTCCCGGGACTTGTCACATCCAGCCCAATGTTGTAATTTTTAAAATATTAGAAACATATGTTAGTGGTTACCACATGAATGGGAGAAAGAAAGGAGAGGGTCAGCATCTCTCCCCATCTATGGCAGACACCACCTTCGTCTGGGAACTCATCCGCTCTCTGATTCTCTGCTGACATCCAAGTCGGCACTGCACAGCTGCCCACAGGGACATTAGCCACCAGGCTAACCGTCTGTGCATGGGCTGTGTCCCTGAGAGCGGTGAGGAGGACTGTGGCTCTGGGTGCTGGGGGACTGTCCCGACTGGGAGACCAGAAGTTCCTAAGAGGTGGCAGGAGTCCCTGGTTGCCTGTGTGACCCTGATCTCTCAGCACAGAACCTGTGTTCTTGGCAAGGGCTCCCCTTGGGAGGGCTATAATGGTGCTGAAAGGCTAAACGTCATAATAGCAGAAAGGGTGGTAGCGACAAAGCTGGTAATGTGTGTGGACACCGAGCTGGGGCACCTCAGGCAGATCTGTGGGTGTCAGCTGCAGAGGGCAAAGCTGAGCCCCGGAGCAGCCCGTGAGACTTGGTGGAGCAGATGCAGAGAGGCCCACACTGGGAGCCTGATGTCTAGGTTCAGCTATCGACCTTCATGTCCTGGCTCTAATCTCCCTCTGCCTCCCAACATGCGACAGACAATTCCATCTCCAGCCGTGCCCCCCAGAGGGTGCTGTGAACATAGGTGAAGAGAAGATGGGGGCCCCCCCATGAGCAGCAGCTGTTGCTATGGCCCTCAAGGTCAGGTGGCTGGTGGGTGCTGAGCCCAGGCCAGACCTAGGAACCTGACTTCCAGGCTGGCTCAACCTCACCCACCATCTTGAATCCTGGCTGACTGACTCAAGTTGTTACCTACAATATTCATGGAATGCCGCTCCCTTCCAGTCCCCTGGCAGGGCTCTAGGACTCAAAGGGGGCAGGACTGAAGTCTATTCTCAGGATTTCAAAGATTCACATCACCCATATTCAGAGGTAGAAACGAGCATGCACTCTTTTCTCTGTGAGGATCTGGGGCAGAGTTCTCAAAGACAGGAAATGACAACTCCATTCCTTCAAGCAGACAAGCAAGGGATTCCTAGGTGACTGCAAGGCTTCTCTTCAAGTTCCCACAGGGCAGATGACAGGAAGTAAGGCTGTTTCTCATACTTTGAGGTAGAAGATGCACTCGGGACAGGGAGGGGTGCGTGTGTGTGTGTGTGTGTGTGTGTGTGTGTGTGTGTGTGTGTGTGTGTGTGTGTCTGTTTGGACTCCTCCCAGGTGTATGTGAATTTGGATTCCACTCGACCACCTCCCCCACTCCCCCACCTCCGCCATGAACTCATCTCCACCCTGATGCTAAACTGGTTACTGGTATGTTCTGGCTCCCCTACAACTTCAGGACCAAACAGAACGGGGCCCAGAAGTGGAGACAAGGCAACGCACGTGGCCTGATAGATGGCAGTGGCCACCATGCACACGAACATCACGTAGAAGATTGGGTAGTCCAGCTGCAGGTTGCCTTGGATGGACAGCACCAGCATCCCTGCCACAGCCTTGACCGTCACCACCGTCATGGAACCTGCGGAGAGCAAGCCAGAGTGTGGGCGGCCTCAAGACAATGTGAGGAATCAGATCCCAAAAGGACTTGGGGACAGAGGCGGGAGGGCCATGGAGCTCCCGTGGTAAGAAGACATCATTGGCTAGGTCTACCTTGCCCAGGACTCCCAGGGGGCTTTTGGGAGCCCACTACCTATGATGGGATACCTTGTGCAGCCTTGAGGCGGGGGAAGGGCTTGGACTTGCCTCTACTGGATGTGCCTCCCCATGGGAGGTCTTGCCTTCTTGTGGGAAGGAGAGGGGGGTAGGTTGGGGGGGATGGGGAGCAGGAGGAAGGAAGAGGGGGATCTTTGATTGGAGTGTAAAATGAATGAAAAATTTTCTTAATAAAAATAAAAAAAAGAATAAAAAAAAAGGAAGGATGTGAGGTGCCCACAGCTATTTCTAAATGTCACTTCACTGTACCCTAGTGGGCATCAAGTTCAGGTCTCTGTCCCCAGACTACATGGCTGTGGGGGGGGGGTAGCTCTTTGAATGGACATACAAACTTCCCCTGAGCCCAACTTCATGGTAATCCAGAATAATAGGTGGGGAAAGAACTCATGAATTGGGGCTTCAAAATGCTCAGTCACGTGCATTTTCTGTGGGTTTAGGGACTGGAGAGATGGCTAAGTGGTTAAAAGCACTTGCTGCTCTTTTAGGGGACCTGAGTTCAATTCCATCACCCACATGGCAGCTCACAACCATCTGGAAGTCCAGATTCTGGGGATGTGTCACATCTTTTAGCCTTCATGGCAATCATACACATACACACACGGAATACCCCCCACCACACATACACACACACACACACACACACACACACACACACACACACACACACACGCACGCACGCACAAATAAAAATTACAGATAAATCTTTTTTAAAAACCTCTTTGTGTGTCTTCCAGTTGTTTCTCTTTCTCTCTCTCTCTCTCTCTCTCTCTCTCTCTCTCTCTCTCTCTCTCCCTCTCTCTTTAGATAGACTTCTTACTGAATCTGGAGCTCATCCATTTGGCTAGACTGGCTTGCTAGTGAGCACTGGGGATGCTCCCGTCTCTGCCTCCTTAGTGCAAGGATTACAGATGTGCCGCCTGTACCTGTGTTTTTATGTGGGCGCTAGGGATCCGAATTCAGGTCCACAAGCACTCTGTTGACTGAGCCATCTCTCAAGCTCCTTTCATATATTTCTCTACTCCAAGAAGTCTCTAGTGTTCTGTACCTTTATGCATATGCAAATTCATATCCAACATATCTTCGCTCACTTCAAGATCATAACTGTGTAACAATGCATTTATATGATATGCACATGCACCTTATATGCTATAAAACATGCACAGGAAATGTAACCACTTAAAGGATGGGAGGAAAATGGTGGAAGCTCTGTTTTCTTCCTGTACATTTCACAACTGTCGTGACCACCTCACTACGAAGACCCACTGCTGACCTCCAAGTGGCTTCAGCTCACAAAGTGCCACATCTCCTGCCACGCTGGAGTTAGATAAAACAGCTGGAGGAAGAGACGGAGGAAGCCACAGCCCTGGCTGAATTGCTTTGCCTCCTCCTGTCGGCTGCCTCATTAGCTTTCTTCTGCCAACAATCCAGCACACAGTGCCTTCTGGGACCCTCAGCCACTGTACCAGTTTGCAGGCGCCGGTAGCCATTGAAGTCAAGCACGCATCACCATACTGTCCACGCTACCAAACAGCAGAAGGGCCATGGAGGAGGGGATGTTGATGACTCAGGTACTAACCACCACAAACAAAGTCACAACGGAACAGGGGACTGGCTTGTGCTACAACCTGGGTATACCTAAGAATGTTATGTTCAAACGAACCTGTTATAAAAAGGCCTCATAGGGCCAGGTGTGTAGTGTGCACCTGTAGTCCTAGCACTTAGGAGGCCGAGGCAGGAGGATCAAGAGTTCAAGGCTAACTGTCTACAAAAGAAGATTTTTTTTTTTTTAAGCTGAAGATGTAGCTCAGTTGAGAGGGAGCTTGTCTAGCGTGCACAGAGCCCTGGGCTCAGTCCCCAGCACTGCCTAAATAGGGTGGGTTAAAATCCCAGCCCTCAGGAGGTGCCAGCCGGACGATGAGAAGTTCAAGGCAGCAGCACAGAGATTTCAAGGTCAGCCTGGGCTGCCGGGCACCCAGTCTCAATACAAACAAACGAAGAGTCACATTGGGATATAATTCCAGTTATAGAAGACGTTCACAAGGGTGCATTCATACACAGAAGGCAGGTTAGTGTTTGCCCGGGGCTGGGAAGAGGGGGGATGGGAGTCACCGGCACTGAGCATTTTAGAGGGGAAAATGTTCTACGATTAGATTGTGGCTGTGCGAATCCATGACTACAGTAAACCCCACTCAGTGGCTTACCTTGAGCAGATGAACCACGCGGCATATGAATTCTATCTTAATAAAACTGTTTTAAAAAGTAGATCAAAATAATGCTAGCCTGTCTTCAGTGACAGGTATCTGCGTGGTTTGGGGGGCTCGTCATCAAGGTGGGGTGGGGAGAATAACATGTGGGTGCCTCTGCTCATATCAGTTAACCTTCCTCCCAACGTTGGGGTATTTTCCTTGTCCGTTTTGGAGTGTGGTGGAAAGGGGAGACACCAGATGGCCAGCCCTGTCTCCTGCTCTGTTGGACACTAATGACAAGCAGCATCCTTGCCTCAGTCTGGGGACCATTTCCCCGCTAAGCACCCGTCTCTTTAAAGTAAGGAGAACCTGTCTGTTCCGGCTCCATTCCTGCCCTGCGTCTATACAGTCCATTGTGGATACTCCTGGACAGTTCAGGGGTTGCTCTGAGGTGACCTCTGACCTCACTGAGCTTACTCTCCTTGCTTCTTTCTCCTGTTGGGTCTCGGTCCACACTTCTGTGGCTGTGGCCCATGTGTTTGCTCACTTTTCTCTTGCTGAAGACAGTCCTCTCAAGAGTCACTATGTGGACCTTCAGTTTTGGACCCTTAGGAGACTTGAAATTTGAGCCAGAATGTGAGAAATGGTAGGAGCCACCTCGGTCAGCCGGGGCCCTGCTCCCTGTGGAGTGACCGCTGTGGTGATATTGTGTTCCCCAAAATATTGTGCACCCTAATAAACTTACCTGGGGTCAGAGAACAGAACAGCCACTAGACATAGAGACCAGAAAATGGTGGCACACACGCCTTTAATCCTAGCATTCTGGAGGCAGAGATCCATCCGGATCTCTGTGGGTTCAAAGCCACACTGGAAACAGCCAGGCATGGTGACACACGCCTTAATCCCAGGAAGTGATGGTAGGAAGCAGAAAGGTATATAAGGCGTGAAAACCAGGAACTAGAGCTGGTTAAGCTTTTAGGCTTCTAGCAGCAGTTCAGCTGAGATCCATTTGGATGAGGACACAGAGGTTTCCAGTTTGAGGAAACAAGATCAGCTGAGGAATTGGCGAGGTGAGGTTAGCTGTGGCTTGTTCTGTTTATCTGATCATTCAGCATTCACCCCAATACCTGGCTCTGGGTTTGTTTTTATTAATAAGACCTTTTAAGATTCCTGCTACAGACCGCCTTGAACTGGCCTCATGCAGCTTCTGTATGCAGAGTCAACAGCCATGAGTAGGGGAGACTGGGGGTGACAAAGCCCCATCATCCAGAAATTGCTTACCAAGCAAGGCCACCAGGAGGAGAATCACAATGATGCTGTTGGCGTTCCTCTCCTTGTAGAAGTACAGGAGCAGGCAGAACAGGACGATCACCACCAGCTGTGGGGGACACCAGCAATCACCCAGCACTTAGTCAGGAATTCAGAGTGTGTCCCCCGTCCCGACCAAGGCCCAGTGTGTGTGTGACTAAGTAGAGAAAGAGGAGGGCAAGTGTTGGGCCCAGGGGCAGCCTTGGGGGGGGGGGGCTGTAGGAGGAGTGAGAGTTCAGGGCTGGCTTGGGAAACTTAGGTCCCATCTCAGAAGAAGAAAGTAAAAAGCAGCTGATGCAGACAAACGGTAGAGCACTTTTCAGGGACATTCCAGACCCTGGGTTCTATATCCAGCAACAAAAACCCAAAACAATAAGAAAAGAGCAAAATGCCACCCCCAAACGAGACCCGTACTCAGGGAGCCATTTGGTCAAACAACGGGTACACATTCTTTGTCACCAAGCCCCAGCTGGACACAGCTCCCAGAAAGAGGAAGATTGCTGGGTGTGGTGGCCCACCTGAAATCCTGGCACTGGGGAGGCAGAGGTGGGAGGATTTTGAGTGATAGGCTAGCCTGGGCTATGTGGTGAGACTATGTCTCCAAATATAAAACAGGAAGATGAGTGGAGTGTGGGTGTCGCAGGCTGTCATTGCATCTGTCTCTAAATTGCTGATGTGACCCTAGGCAAGTCTGAACCTCTCCAAACCCCTGCTGCCTCCACTGCACAGTAGGGATGATTCCACTCACAGGGCAACAGTCAGCGCTATGCTGGATGAACTGTCCCATGTGTGTGCCGGAGTGGGGGCTCCCCAGTTTTCAGCTATTGCCTGAAATGACTCTTTTTTAAAAAAACAAAAAACATTATTTGTTTATTATGTATACAGTGAGTGTTCGGCCTGCATGTCAGAAGAGGGCGCCAGATCTCATTACAGATGGTTGTGAGTCACCATGTGGTTGCTGGGAATTGAACTCAGGACCTCTGGAAGAACAGCCAGTGCTCTTAACCTCTGAGCCATGTCTCCAGCCCTGAAATGACTCTTTGTGACTTGCCAGTGAATGTTAGGACAGCACTTGGTGTTAAACCCTAAGAGGGTAGTACATGTGTGGGCATCTTGGGAGAGACCAGGAGTTGTGAGCCAAGCTCAGTGACCTTCCATACCCACAATGCCCAGCATTTAGGGAACCCCCCTAGACAAGTATTCCTTGAGTTTGGTTCAATCCCTTCATGCTGTGGGATGGTCTTTCTGTACACTGTGAATATATGTTGCTCTCACTGGCTGATAAATAAAGCTGTTTGACCAATGGTGAGGCAGAATAAGGTTAGGCAGTCCATTCAGACTGATGATGGAAATGAAGAAGGGCAGGATCAGGGCAGACGCTTCGAGCTGTGCAAGAAGCAAGGTGTGAAAGAACTGGTAAGGCATGGGCCATGTGGCAATACAAAGATTAATAGAAATGGGTTAATTTAAATGTAATAGCTAGATAGTAATAAGCCTGAGCCATTGGCCAAGCATTTATAATTAACATAAGCCTCTGAGTGATTATTTAAGAGCAGCTGCAGGATGGGACAGAACAGAGAAAAGCCTCTGGTTTACACCTTCAATCGGTGGCACTGCCTTACTGTCAGGCCTGGTGACGCCACCCAGCCCTCCAGGGGGCATCTTCCATACTCAGGGTGACTTATTCGCAGCCTCATGTTGCACCCCAACAACCCCAAGTCTAGTCTCTTGCTATTTCACAGAGAAGGAATGAGACTTGTCCAAGGCCACACAGCACAAAGGATTTGAGGCCAGCTCTCCCTGAGTGAGAGGACTGTTTTGGGGTTAGGCTCTGCTAAAACAGTTCCTGTTAGGGGGTGGCTAGAGGCAAGGCAGATACAGCCCTGGCCTCCAGAGATCCCATCCTCTGTTTTGTGGGCCTTCTGAGGCAAAAAGGCATTCTGACTGCTCAGAGTTTCAGGGTCTCCATTCATGAGATCAGGAGGAAAGCAGCTTAAAGATTTGAGAGAATTCGAGACACATAAACCCATTTTGCACTGTGTGGATATGAGGCCAGCTCACAGCAGCAGCTGTGTGAGCACCAGGGCTGTTTTCTTTTTTAGTGTGTTTGTGTATCTGAAGTAGACATAACACTGGCTGGGGGCTCTGTCCCCTGGCTGCCTATCAGCTGTGTGATACTTCGAAAAACAGCATTCTTAAATTTTTTAAATTCTTAACTTAAAAAAAAGCTGTTTTAATTTTATTTGTTTGTTTGTTTGTTTTTTGAGACAGGGTGTCCAAGTCCAAACTGGCCTTAAACTGGCTATGCAGCTGAGGAGGGCTTTGAACTCCTGATTCTCCTATTGCCCTCTCCTGAGTGCTGGGATTATAGGCATGTGCCACCACACCTGGTCTATGTGGTGCTGGGGATCCAGCCCAGGACTTCGTGTATGGCAGAGAAGAACTCTGTCAACTGAGCATCTATATTTTTAACTCCCTCTTTTATCATAAAAACTTTTTTTCAATTTCCTATTTATTCTTTGTGTCTTTCACATCATGCCTCCCAATCCCACCCATCTCCCCCACCCCAATAAAATAAAATAAAATTTAAGGGAAAAAAAGGAAGAGGGAAATCCCGTCATCGAAGCTGCAGTGTGACACAGTGAGTCACTCAGTTAACCCCTTTATCCATACATTTTTACATGCAGGTGATCGTCATAAGTGATCATTGGTCTAGTTCGAGGCCCCTGGTCTCTGCCACACCATTGACGCTGGGCCCTCCCTGGGACTCTTCCTAGACGGCCTATTGCTGCCCTGTGTCATGGAGATCACAGATGGGGTGGATGTTGGGGTGGATAAACACATAACCCTGGTTCTGGTCCTGGGTAGTTGCAGGGCTGGTCAGCCTGTCAGCCCTCCGCTGTCTTCGCCACCAGGGTGAGCTCTCCGGCACTGCCCTGGCTACTTCACCCCTTGCAGCGATGAGCAAGGGTGGGGTCAATTCTGCTTTCACATCCTTAGGGTCCTTCTCCCACACACACACCTTCAGGGCCAGCTCTACTGTATTGTCCAGGCGTGGCATAGGGGCCACTCTCCCAAGGGCTGCAGCTGTGAGGGGCAGGGACAGCTCTCCTGCTCTTATGACTTCAGGGCCAGCTCTTCCATCTGCCTCAGCATTGATGGGCATTGATGGGCAGACGGGCAACAGGGGCGGGGGGGGGGGGGGGGGGGGGGGACTCTCTTCCCCACCCATGCCGCCACATGACAGATGAGTAATGAGGATAGGTCTCCCAAGGTCACAACATTACCATAAAAACTTTAAAAGCTAGACCTACTGGAACAGCCACATGAGAAGCTGAAACAGGAGGATCAATACCTTAAGGCCAGCCTGGGCTACACAGAGTTCAAGGATAGCCTGGGCAACTTAGTGAGTTCTTGGTTCAAAAAACAAGTAAAAAGAGGACCAGGGGTGTAGCTCAGCGGGAGAACTTGCCTAGCATATGTGAAGCCTTAGGTTTCATCTCTAGTCCCACAAAAAATAAAAATAAAATTAGATGATGTTAAAATTTTGGACACAGAGTAGAAATAAAATCTACATCCTAATTTAATCTCCTAGAGACAACTACCCAGAATTTCTGTTTCTCCACCTGCCCTCACAGACACGGGTTGTGCACACACCTCCACAGCCCTCTGATGACCCAAGACTGGCAGTGTACTGTGGATGGATTTGGATGGTGCCCAGGACAAACGTGGCACCAGCCTGACATGTGAACCCAGCATGTGCGCAAGCTCAGTGGTCACACTGTGCCTCAGTGATCCCAACTACCGACCTTGAGGTCCGGCGAATGGGACTTGATCCTCTTTCAGTCTGTTCAAGCAGAAGGATGGGACCTTCACTTACCATGTACAGCAGAAAAGGCCAGCTCACAAGGTGCTTGGCGATGTTCTCGCCTGTCATTTTCTCGTGACTATTGGGTGCAAATGTCACTAGCAGGTAGGTGCCCACGATCGCCAAACCGCAGCCAACAAAGGACAAGACATAGCGTCCTGTGGGGAGGGAGGGAGGATGGTCAGGGGCTCAGGACATGGGCCAGGTGCACAAGGGGCCCTTAGCAAGTCAGGGCAGCCTTTGCCTGTGTCCTGGCTAGTTTTATGTCAACCCGACACAAGATGGAGTCATCTGAAAAAGGAGGGACCCTCAACTGAGAAAATGCTTCCACAAGATCAGGCGGCAGGAAAACTGGAGGCATTTTCTTAATTAGTGACTGATGGGGGAAGGCACAGACCATTGTGGGAGGGGCCACCCATGTGCTGGTGGTCCTGGGTTCTATAAGAGAGCTGACTGAGCAAGCCATGGGGAGCAAGCCAGTAAGCAGCACCCCTCCATAACCTCTGCATCAGCTCCTGCCTCCAAGTTCCTGCTCTGTTTGAGTTCCTGTCCTGACTTCCTTCAGTGAAAGACTCTGGATGTGAAAGCGAAAGGCAAACAAACCCTTTGCTCCCCAACTTGCTTTTGGTTGTGGCATTTCATCATAGCAACAGAAACCTTAACTCAGCCTGTGTCAGGCGCCTGGCACCACTTGTATTTTTGGTTGTTCTTTACTTGAAAAGAGTAACCTTCCTTAATGTGTTCTCTTCAGCTTTATTTGTATATTTTTATGTGTATGAGTGATTTGCCTGCATGTATGTGCACTGATGAGTGCCTGGTGCTTTTTGGAGGTCAGAGGACATTAGATCTGGAACTGGAGTTATAGACAGTCGTGATTCAGCATGTGGGTCCTGGGAATTGAACCCAGGTCCTCTGAAAGAACACCAAGTGCTCTTAACCACTGAGCCATCTCTCCAGGTCCCCTTAATATGTGTGTGTTTAATTTGTTTACTTACTTGATTTGATTAATTTTCTACAAAACTTTTTAAAATTTATTCTATTTATATGGGTGTTTTGCCTGCATGGAGTTACAGGTGGTTGTGAGCTGTCATGTGGGTGCTAAGAACAAATCCCGGGTCCTCTGTAAGGGCAGCCAGGGCTCTTAACCACTGAGCCATCTTTCTAGCCCATTTTTTAAAGATTTATTTTTATTTACGTGTATGCATGTGTATTTGTATGCCACCTGTATGAAATCACAGGTATATGATATCATGCTTATAATGTTATGGGGGAGAGTTCATCATGGTATCTTCACATGTGCTTATCATGTGCTTTGTGCACATTCACTCCCTTAAACATCATTCTAAAAATCTTAAAACTTTCTTGGTTTCCAGTGGAGGGACCTCAATTAATGAAACACTGATGCCCCTTGATCTATGGGTCCATGTTTCCCAGTTGGTTAGAATTATCTATAAAAAAAATTATCTATAAAAAAAAATGGCAACTTGGATCTCTTTTTCTCCCTTCTGTGCTTCTAAATAATGTGAGACGATACTTCCAGGCCAATACCTTTACCCTGTAAACCCAGATGTTTCCTTGGGGTGAGGGGGCCAGGCCCAGGTCTAGCTGAGCTGGAGGAATCTTTCGGGGGGACTGTGAGCAGGTTCACTGGGCTGCAGGCTCAAATTCTGCCTTTATTTACAGTGAAGCAGAGTTTCTGGCCTCCTAGGTCTGACTCCCATGGCTTTAAAACTCAGGGAAGGTGTGTTTTTGTTAGGTTTTCTAAAACCCCAACAAGAGAGGCTCAATCAGTATTGACGGAAGGGAATGAAGAAAGGCCAATCTTCAACAGGGCCACAGACACAACTGTGACGCATAGCCAGGCTGGGGGCACTTCACATTCATTCCCAGGACCACGGAACCCAAAGGGGAGTGGGAGGTGGAGGACCTGTCCACGGGGCTGGGCTGGCTCTGGCAGAGACTTACTCACAAAGTCCTTCGGCTTCCATTTTTCTTTGATGAATATGATTCCGATGATGGCGCTCGCTGGAAAAGGCCAAGCACAGTGAGGTTGCTGCCAGGCAGAGGGGTGGCTTACCCACCCACGCCCTCTGGGGGGCTCGTTTGCATGGAGCCTCTTGCACATGCCCCCAGAGATTTTTAGAACTTGGTCTCCTTCAGCCTCAGCCACTCCCATCCGGGAGAGAGGACCTTTCTAGAGCCTTCTGTGGGATTTCTCATAAGCCAGGGTCCTGGGCCCTGAGTGCCCACTGTGCAGGAGGCAATTTCCACGTGTGATTTTTGGCATGCTCAACCTTAGAGGTGGGGGCTGCCGTTAGTCTTATTTGATAAATGGGGATCCTGAGGTTAAAAGAGGTGAAGCTGATATGAAAACGCAAGATTTGAACTCAGGACCAGAGCCTTTCTTCTTCTTCTGCTGTGTCCTACCTCCCGCATGGTGCTTGTCTTACTCTGACTATTGCAGGGTCACAACTTAAACTCCTGTGACCGACCTCACAGGCAGGGCTGGCAGCCACTGTGAATTACTCCATTACTAGCCCAGCTCAGCCTCTCCTGGCCGTGTGACCCTGGGTAGGTCACTTCCTGAGTAACAGTCTTCTACTTTGTGAGATGGTGTTCTGGGTCTGGCTGCACCAACTTGCTGTCACATATTCAGGCGGCCACAGGGGGCTTGAACTTGGCCACGGAAGCGGAAGAGCAGATGCATTTACACCATACAGTTCAGCAATCTGAGTGAGAGGCCCTTCTCTCCCGTCTCAGTGATCACTCCTATCTCCATCTCGTTTTCTCTTCTCACTCCCCCCCCACCCCGGAATCGGTCCACAAACCCCACTGAAAACTACTACTTCTTTGAGTTGTAGGGCAATAAGATTCTAAATGCAAATCATTTAGTGTACAGTAAATGCTCATAATAAAACGATTCTTGTTATTGAAGTACTTGGAACATTGATGGAAAAGTCCTAAGTAGTCAACGGATGAGCTGTTACTATGTTAAGTATATTTCTTATAGGGTGACCTCGGAAGCTCAAGGAGCTTCTTAACCTCCAGTGACTGGCTGACCCCCAAATCTTGCCACAATTCACCCTACTTATTCATTATTGCATTGGGCATCAAAACCAGAACCTGGTACTGACTAGGGCCATCATTTTGCATCCCAGCTCTCAGCCTCTAAGTTTAAAGTTGGTTACTTATTCAAAATCAAAGACTAATATTTACAGCGTTGGCCCCTCAGTCACTTATTCCCCGCTGTGAATGAAGGTTCCAAGAGGTTTTTAGGGACCCCAACAGTGGACAGAACAGAGACAAGGACGTAAATCTAACTATCGATGGGGCTCGGTGGTGGCCTGAATGCAGGACACAGTCCAGAGGACAACAGGAGAAGATGCAGATGGCCAAAGACCTCGCCTTAACCAGAGACATTCAAACCACTCTAGAAAAAACCACCGGGAAAAGAAAAAATACTGGTCTGGCCTGGTAGCTAAGAGGCGGGCACTTGCCCAGCAGGCACAAGGGCCTGGGTTTCATCCCCAACACTTAACAGAAAAGATACTTGGTGGAAAAAACTCAGCACTGCTCCTGCAGACCGCCAGGTCACCAGCTCTGCTCAACAAAGGGCGATTCGGAAATCCAATCAAGTTTCCCATTTTCCAGTTTCTTATAATTAGTAATGGCTGCCTGCAGAACAGAGAATCCTGAGGTCCGAAAGCTTTGATCAATTTGCGTCATGCACAGGCCCGCCTGTGGTAAAGAGGACCTTGAATTCAAGGAGAGGTAAGATGCCAAGATTCACTGTTTTTCTGAGAGCAGGGGAGAGCCAGGCAGAGAAGGGCTAGCAACATGAAGGAAACATTCTAGATGAGTCCACTGTTCCAGCTCCTGGGCACAGTAGGTGACTGTGTGCTCATCTATCTGTCTCTATGAGAATTGGATTTTATGTGTGACCTTGGGGCATTAAAGTTCTTTCATCTTTGGTCGGTTCAGGTGCTCTGATGTGGAAATCATGGGAAAAGGACAGGTGGGAGAGGTAATGATGGCATGTGACTGGCCAGGATGACGGAGAAAGATCTGAGCATGAATGAGTGCTTCTCAGAGGTGCAGAATGGTGAACAGATGAGAGTTTAGTATGCCTTGTTAGTGTGAAGACGTTTAGATCAAGGCTTAACTTCCTTTCGCAAGTGGCCATAAAAACAATTCTAAAAAAAAGGTTCTGAATCTTAAACACGGTCTGGAGGTGGAGACCCTGGCTCATATCCCAGCCCTGCTACTGAGTGACTATGTGATGTGTGCCTTACTTCCTGCATCTGTAAAATGGGTGCAAGGTAGGAAGAAGGAAGCCCAGCAGGGTGCTTCAGAGCTGGGCCATGTGTGACGCGGATGCCAGATGCTATTGCCAAAGCATCTTACTGTCATTGGTTTTTTTTTTAAAGATTTATTTATTTATTATGTATACAGAGGAGGGTGCCAGATCTCATTACAGATGGTTGTGAGCCACCATGTGGTTGCTGGGAATTGAACTCAGGACCTCTAGAAGAGTAGTCAGTGCTCTTAACCTCTGAGCTACCTCTCCAGCCCCTTGTTTTCTTTTTATCAGCATTTATTTTTAAAAATTTTTAAAGTAAAATATAATCACATCACTTTCCCTCTTCCCTTTCTTCCCTAAGCCCTTTCCATGTCCCCTGCTTCACTCCCTCTCAAATTGATGGCCACAAGAATGCTTTGTTTTTTAATCTTGGTTTTTTTGGATGGGTGTTTGACCAGCATATATGGCCGTGTATCACATGCATGCAGCGTCTGCAGAGGCCAGAAGAGGGCATCGGATCCCCTGAGACTGGAGTTACAGTCTATTGTGAGCCCCCAAGTGGGTGCTAGGAATCGAACCTGGGTCCTCTGTAAGAACAGTCAGTGCTCTTAACTGCTGAGCCACCTCTCCAGCTGCCAAGAGTAGTTTTGTGTTGTGTTTTTTTTTTTTTGAGACAGGGTTTCTTTGTGTAGCCCTGGCTGTGCTGGGATTAAAGGTGTGCGCCACCACTGCCTGGCCCCAAGAGTGGTTTTTGAATGTGAGTGCTCTGAGCTTCATGGTGGCACTTGGGCCACACAGATGATTCTGGGTGAAGAGAAGGCAGGGGCTTACCTATTACTGAGACGGCACTGAGGGGTACGATGAGGGACAACGGGGCGAAGGCATAGGAGGCGAACACGCCCAGCTCGCCTAGCAGCAGCAAGAGCAGTCCCAGCCACCATGTCTTGGTCTTGAAGTAGGCCCGGGGGTCCTTGGAGCCTGCCAGGCGGATATGGCAGTATTTCTACAAGTCCAAGAAGGAATGCAATTAGACCAGATGTTTGGAGAAAATCAAAGGCTCTGACTAAGTAACCCAAGCTGATGCTCCACTTTTGAAAACCATACATGGGGCCCTGAGTTGGGTTTGGGGGAGATGTGGGAGGGACCTGGAAATTGGCATGTGTGTGTGCATATTCACATGTATATAGATATGCATGCACATGTGTGTAGGGGCTGCATGTTTACATGTATATGGGTATGCATTTGTGCATGCATGCATGCATGTGTATGTGTGTGTATGTAGGCTAGAGAAAACAATCTTTCACCATGGTTTTTGACAGAGTGACTTGGTGGCCTGGGCTTGACAAGTAGCCTAGGCTGGCTTGCCAGTGAGTCGCAGTGATTCACCTGTCTGCCACCCCAGCACTGGATTATAAATGCACACCACCACAACTGCTGTTTTTACAGAGGCTCAGGGAATTGAACTCGGGTCCTCAGGCCTGCAAGGCAAGTACTTCACCCACTAAGCTATCCTCCAGCCCCTCTCTTTTCCTTGAGACACTGTCTCATGTCGCCCAATCTGGTCTTCAAATTTCAATCCTCAGGGCTGGAGAGATGGCTCAGTGGTTAAGAGCACATGGTGCTCTTCCAGAGAAGCCGGGTTTAGTTCCTGGCACCCATATTGTGACTCACAACCATCCATTACTTCAGTTCCAGGGGATCCAATCCCCTCTTCTGACATCCATAGGCACACACATGGTACACAGACATAAAGACAGACAAAACACTCACAAATATAAATGTAAAAAAAAAGAAAGAAAGAAAGAAAGAAATTGAAATCTTCCCACCCCCACCTCTTGAGTTTGGGGATATCAGGCATGTGCCACTGTGCCTAGAGCTCAGGGCCTTGGAGAACCTCTGAGAAATCTAACAGAGGACATTTACCCACTGATTCCTGTTGTCACTAGCATGGGGACACTCTTGTCTCTTGGGACACATGTGTACCAGTTCCCTGGACCTCAGGGGAAGCTCCTCAAGCTGCCAGCCTGCTCCACAGCACAGCTGTGGCCACCGCCAGGCCAGGCCAGGCCAGGCGCTGTGGGGGCTCTACGGCAACTGTGGCAGCCCCTGTCCCCGAGACTTGAGGCATCCACAGTACTGGAATCAGAGCTGAAGGTGACGGTACCACGATGATCCCAGCAGCTGGAGGCACAGGGCGGTGTGAGACAAGACCGGGGCCTGTGGTCAAGATGTCACTCCACTGCTAGAGGCCAGGGGCTCGGCTGGGGAGATGGCACTATCAGAGAAGCGTCTGCTGTACAAGCATGAGTTTGGATCCCACCATCCATGTAAAAAGCCAGGTGTGGCAGTGGCTGCCTGAAATCCCAGCACTGGGGAGAAACAGGAAGTGGTGTGCTGGCCAGCTGGTCTTGCAGTCATTAAGCTCCAGGTTCAATGAAAGGCCTTGTCTCAAAAAAATATGGTGGGGTTGGAGAGACCAGTCAGCAGTTAAGCGTAGTGCTGCTCTGCCTGAGAACCCGAGTTTGGGCACCCACTTCAGGTACCGCCCACAACTCCAGCCCCAGGGGAATCTGATGCCTCTGGACTCCGGAGGCACCTGTACTCGTGTGCACACACCCACTGCTGACACACAATTCAAAGTAAAGCAAATCTTAAAAAATAAATAAGGTGGAGAGCGATTGAGGACGGTACTCGCCTTTGATCTCTGGGTTCCATATGCAGGTGCCCACACGTGTGCACACATATAAAACTGGAGGTTCTGACCTATGGGAGCCTGGCGGGTATGGGCAGGGGAAGTAGGACTGCAGAGAGATTCAGGGAGCAGACAGGGTCCCCCCCTCAGAGAGCAGACAGCAGACCTGGTTCACCCGCGCTGCTCCTCCGCCTGGGACAGCGCTGGCATCTGAGACTCACCTGCAGGTTAAGGGCGATGCTGACCACGAGGTGCCCGAAAATCGCCAAGAGAGCGCCAATTAAGTTTTCCTAGAAGGAAGGGTCACAGAACGGATGTGAGTGGCACTTAAGCCAAGGGGTCCCAGGACTCACGTGATATCCAGCAGTCTGCCCCCAAACAAAACCAGGACGAGGCCCACACTCTCTCCTCCAGACCCGACGTTGGAGTCTCACCACCTGGGCATCACCCGGCTTGTACAGACAGGCAATGTGTAGAAACCAGTGTGGATGAGAGAAATGCACGCTGCGGCTCCTACCATCTTGCCAGGGAAGTCTTCCTGTCCTGACAGTTCAGCAAGAACTCCCCAACAGCCAGCATCAGTGGGGACTTTTCAGTTATTTAATCAACGCAAAACTCATTTATATCACCCTAGCCATGAGATTCAGGTTCCCTGGCATGCTATTGTTTTTTAAATAAAAAGAATTACTCAACATATATTTATGATAGGATAATTAAGAGCAGCATGTGGTGACCACCTGTCATCCCAGCACTTAGGAGGTAGAGGCAGGAGGACTAAGAGTCAAGGTTGCTGGGCAGTGGTGGCGCGCGCCTTTAATCCCAGCACTCGGGAGGCAGAGGCAAGCGGATCTCTGTGAGTTCGAGGCCAGCCTGGGCTACCAAGTGAGTTCTAGGAAAGGCGCAAAGCTACACAGAGAAACCCTGTCTTGAAAAACCAAAAAAAAAAAAAAAAAGAGTCAAGGTCATCTTTATGAGATGTTATCTCAAAAGCCATAAAACCATGGGGCTGGAGAGAGGGCTCCATGCTTAAGAGTGCATAACGTTCTGAAAGTTCCCTTTCCAGCATCCATTTGAGGCAGCTCACAATTGACTCTAGCTCCTGGGGATCTGAAGCCTCCAGCCTCCCACCCCACTCCCAGCACAGCACTGATGCATACAACATACTGTGGACATACTTCTCTGTCAGGCATATTGCACTCATCCTGTTTCAAAGGTCAGCAACATGCTGTGGACATACTTCTCTGTCAGGCATATTGCACTCATCCTGTTTAAAAGGTCAGCAAGTGCCTTATCACCTAAATTGCAGCTCCAGCTCCAGGTAACCATTTTAAAGTTTTATTTATGTGTACGTACTTGAGTGGGAACCGAACCCAGGCCCTCCACAAGAATAGCAAGTGTTCCTAATTGCTGAGCCATCTCCCAAGGCCCGTCCCGACTGTTTCTGACAGAGAAATACGATGGTTTCATAGGGTTCAACTTGTAACTGGGCCACCATTCCCGTCACACAGAGACCATGCCGTCCTTTGATGGCCCACTGGCTAAAAGAACGAGGCCCATGAGAAGGTGCTGTTTCATGCCAAGGGGAAGTTAGAGCTAAAGAAGAGGAAAGCCTCCTGCCACACAGACATGCCAATGCCATTTCAGGGAGGGCTGATGAGAAGGAATGGAGAAGTGAAAACTAGAAAAACCCACAAGGACAAAAGAATTTACGCATCAGAACCTCTCACAGTGAAGGGTTCTAATGGTCAAGGCTGGCATTCACAGGGTGCTCACACATGATGGGGAGGCCTGGTCAAGGCTGGCATTCACAGAGTGCTCACACGTGATGGGGAGGCCCCATCAAAGCTGGCATTCACAGAGTGCTCACCCGTGATGATGGGGAGGCCCTCTCTATACATTCCCTGTGGGCCACATACAACCCTAGGAGAGTTGTGCTTGGTGGTGGACACACTGATGATCTCAGTCTCAGGGAAGTGGGCCATCCTTGGTTATATAGTGAGTTCAAGACTAGCCGGGGCTACATGGCAAGACCTTGACATAAAAAAACAAAAAATACTTAAGGAGCTGGAGAGAGGGCTCAGTGGTTCAGAGCACTTGGTGCTCTTGCAGAGGACCCAGGTTTGATTCCCAGCACCCACATGGCAGCTTACAAACTTGTAGCTCGTTCCAGGGATTCCCTAATACCTCTTCTGATCTCTGAGGACTCCTGAGTATACATGGTGCACATATATACACTCAGACGGACAGACAAATAGACAGATACAGACAGACACACACACCCCAAAATAAATAAGAAGCAAAAACAAAAACAAGCCCCAAACCAAGCTAAACCAAACCCAAACCCCCAAACTAATCAAACGGCAAACACCTCCAAGCAGCTCTAAGAGGTAGTGTTCCACTTTAATCTCAGCACAGAAGCTGGAAGCTCACGGATGAATAGAGTGAGCTCTGGAGAGGTGACACAAGCCGACCAGGGTACAGACAGGAGGGCCTGGGATTGGAAGTGGGACTTCTGGTCTCCTGATAAGAAGGCTGGCCCCACGTGGTCTCCAGGGTGCTCTCTGAGGAGTTGATTCAGAAGGTGAGAAGGAACCCAGGGCAGGGGTGGGGCGCTGTGTAAGTACTCCACTCTGGTGCTGACGCAGGCAGCTGAGTCTGCTCAAGTCGTTTGCGGCACGTTAATCTTAACGTCTAATAGCCGGTTACAGACAGACATGGTGAATAACAGCAGACATCACTGAGGCCCTCGGATCTGAGTGTCTCCAAGGGCCTCATCAGCGCTAATTATGCCCCCTGAACCCTTGTGAAGTGAAGCGTGGTCTAGTTTTATGAACATTTAAAGTCATGGACAGCTGCCACCGCCCAGGGGTTACACAGTTTGAACACACATTCACCAGCTGCCCTCAGGGCTTGGCACGAAGCATTCAGAGCCAAGAAGGATCCTGCCTGAAGTTCCTCCTGCAGACTCAGAGCTGGACGACAGGACTCTAGTTCTGAAGCATGGCCAATGGCTTCCTCACTGGACCCCCAGCAGCTCCCTCAGTCACTGAAGCGTCATCCTTGGTCCTTGTGGGGACTATTCACAGTGAGACGTACCAAGTGTATGGCTAACACTGACTCTTAGGAACTTGGAATACAGACATGGCCCTTAAGGTGACAAGCAGGTCTCAGCTGAGGGATGTGTGGTCCAAACTGCCTGGTGGAGGCTAAGGCTATGGCTTCATCTGGGCTATCTGTGTGTCCTGAGAACCTATCACCTCGGAGGGGCGAGTAGTTTGGGGCCACGCCACATTCAGTCCTCAACAGGCTCCCAGCTTTCCAGCAGAGAGTTGAAGTGAGGCAAATGCTGCCAGGCATGGCTTCTCACGGACATTACCTGAGGAGGCACGAGACCAGGCCAGAGGCACAGCTCAGGCCCATGCATGGCTAGCAGAGGCCAGCTCAAGCCAGGACACTTTGCTCCCCTATAATTTTGGGGTGGGAAGTAGCAATGAGCCTTATGTTTAGGATAACCCTATACTACCTAAATGGAGACACCTGTAGAATGAAAGGGTGCCCCACTCATGTGGCATAAGCCAGGAGTCCCCCTTATTTATTCAGTGAGACCTCTGGACCAAAGTGTCCTCAAAGTGAAACCTGGAAGGGCACCACTGGACAGAGGCAGTGACATTTCAGACTGCTTCACGTCACGGCTGCAAGCTCCCGGCAACCTCAGTATCAGGGAGACAATGGAGAGGCCAAAAACACTTCTCTCTGCTCCTGTATGGATTCAGGACAGCAGACCTGAGTGGGGTCCTGAGTGGGGTACTTCCTTGCTGTGTGACTTTGGGGAAAATGACCTCAAGTCTCTGGGCCTCCGCCTTCAGGTTTTAAAATGAAAGCGGATTATAAACCCCACTATGGAACCGGGCGGTGGTGGCACATGCCTTTAATCCCAGCACTCGGGAGGCAGAGCCAGGCGGATCTCTGTGAGTTTGAGGCCAGCCTGGACTACCAAGTGAGTTCCAGGAAAGGCACAAAGCTACACAGAGAAACCCTGTCTCGAAAAACCAAAAAAAAAGAAAAAACAAACAAACAAACAAAAAAACCCCACTATGATGATGTTCCACCAAAGGGAGCTGAAGCATCACACAAAGCAGTAAGTCCTAAAATGACTCTAGCAACTGCTATGGTTTGTCTTCATGTCTTTTTACTTATTTATTTATTTTTTTTAAAGACAGTGTTTCCTGTAGCCTTGAATTCATTATGTCGTTGAGGACAACCCTGAATTTCCGGTCCTGCACTCCCGCACTCCTGAGTGTACCGCCCAGTCTGGCTCCAATGGGCTCACCTTTATTATCGTCCATTTTTGTCTGTTTGTTTTGTTGAGACGGGGTGTCCTTGTGTAGCCCTGGCTGTCTTAGACCACCTCTGTAGACCAGGCTGGCCTGGAACTCAGAGATCTGCCTGCCCCTGCCTCCCAGGTACTGGAATTAAAGCTCTCCTGTGCCCACCCCGCGCTGCCCCCTGCACCACTGTGCTGTGGGCTGGCAAGGGGCAGCCCAGCTCTCCCACAAGGTACAGGGCCCTGAAGCTGATATATTCTAATCCAAACTGATTTTTTTTTTTAACTCCCTATGACTCTGAAAGAAAATGAAGTGTTTCCAGAAAGGCAGCTGCATCCAAGAGGCAATCCCTGTATGTTATGATATTGGCATCTAAGTGAGTCAGCTCACATGCCGTGGCCTAGGTCCCCCTCAGGTCTGTTCCCACCAGTCTCCATTTAAATATGACCACCATCACAGACATCAGCTGGAGGGTAAACTGATCTCCCACAATGCTTTGGGCCCGGAGCTGTAAACAGGTAAGGTGCATCCTGGCTCGCTTTGGGTGGCTGGCATTCCAGAGAACGCATCTCAGCGAACCAGGTTCTGCCACACCTGCAGCTTGGCTTCAGGCCACCTCCCTGACACTGTCTTTAACAGATGAGGTATTGCCTGCCTTGTGGCAGCAGCCATCCCGACACTCATCACCAGAAGTGGGAACAGAAGGAGCCTAGCTGAGTGCCTGGTACAATATGAGCAGCACAAAATGGTGGCCAAGACCCTGGACCCCGGCGATGAGAAGATGATTCAAGTTCCAGCTTTTCTGACTCTATTGACTGTGTGGCCTCAGGCAAGTTAATGGACTTCTCTGTGCTAGTTTCCTTATATGTAAGGTGAAGTTATAACAGACTTACTTCCTGGGACAGTCTCTGCTACACAGCCAACGCTCAACACACGCTAGCTGCTATTATGATGCTTATGGCTGTGTCTGTTAACTGACTATGGACAGAGGACCTGTATTTCCCATTGGGAAGTGTTGGAACATGTGATAAAGGAATTGGGTGGATGGTAGGGTTTCCCAGGCAGAAACGGATGACTCATGCAGCTTGGGGTTCCTCATTCTGGGCATTCCAACCATCCTCCTAATTACCCTACAGGGCTGATTCTGGCCTGACCTGCAGGTCTGTGACTTTTCCAGGTTTTAAGATAGATCAATCAAAGCTAGGGCCTGTCTGAGTCCAAAGTTCGAGGTCTCAACACTCTGCTCTTAGCCCTCCCTCCCTCCTTCTGTCCTTCCCTCTTTCCTCTTTTTTTTTTTTTTTTTGTTGTTGTTGGTGAGACCTGAGTCTCACTATGTAGCCCAGTCTGGCCTGAAACTCACAGAAATCCACCTGCCTCTGCCTCCCAAGTCCCAGAATTAAAGGAGTGTGCCACTATGCCCAGAACCACATTTTTTTTTTTTTTTTTATGTTTTTTGAGACAGGGTTTCTCTGTAATTTTGTGCCTTTCCTGGAACTCACTTTGTAGACCAGTCTGGCCTCGAACTCACAGTGATCCACCTGGCTCTGCCTCCCGAGTGCTGGGATTAAAGGCGTGCGCCACCACCGCCCGGCCACATTTTTTCTTAATGGCAAGTCCTTGTGGAGACCTGTCTTCCCCATTTCTCTCCTGGACTCCAGGGAAGATGCATCTGTCATCCATCCACATAGCTGCCCAGGCTGACAGGCTGACCCACCGAGGCTGTTCTATAAACCACGGCCTCCAGGATCCTAGCCCAGGTTTGCTGGACCGGGATTTGTAAAGAGAGACCCCAGTGGGGCAGGGGGGGGGGAGGTGCAAGCAAAGAAATGTGTTCAAGGCTGAGACAGAGCTCCCCAGGGATGTCTGGTAACCAGCCAGGCCTGGGGACCACCACAAACTCTGGCCCGTCTTTTGACAAAGATAGAAACTGAGGCACTGAAAGAGAGCGCCTGACTTGTCTGACATCAAATGTGAGGACGAAGCTGAGCTGGATCCCAGGTCTCGCGATCTTCATTGTAGCTGTTCTGCACATCACCCATCCCTCCTCCAAGAACATGGTAGTGGCCACGAGGGAGATGGAAATGACAGGCTTCCATGGAAAGATCAGAGAACAAGAAAATCATACCGCCTTGGCTTTGAAATAGACCCAACTCTGCATGGGAGCTACCTAGGTGGGATGGAATCACTGAGGAATGTCACGGCCAGTCCTTGCTCTCTCCACAGTGAGCAGACTTTCAGGACTCCCACACGGGTGTATCCAGCCTCACCGATTGGATGGAATTAAAATGAAACCAGCCCTTTCATTCTCTTCCTATGTCTCTCCCTGGCACCTGCCTTGGCCTACAGGGTGACAGGGTCATCAGGAGTGTGTTAAAGCAGAGAGAGGGCACTGGCTGAGAAGCCAAGACGCCAGTGAGGTGGTTTAGAACATGCTACCATATAACCCCATGCCTCAGTTTCCTTGTCTCCAAAGAGGAGACGGAAATGCTGCTGGCGGCCACCTGCTGAAAGCGAGCCATTGTATGTTAGTCACTGGTCCAAGCTTGATGTGGCCGAGTTCATTTGCTCCTCCTAACGGCCAGGAGGCAGGTATTACTGTCACCCCACTTTACAAATGAGGAAAAATGTGTGTCCTTTTAGTGCCGATGAGACAATTGCCTGGGAAAACACACGCGAAGGACTCGGCACAGCACTAGGGCAGAATGAAAGCTCAACACTCGTGACTTGTCGAGATTCTTATCATCACTCAGAGCTAAAAATAAGTCGTGGTTCTTCCTAGCAGTGTGCTACATGATCTCAAGTATGTCACTTCCCACCATTTGGCTCCATTTCCCATAAAATCAGAGTGTTCGATGATCTCTAAGTCTCCTTCAGCCCAGGGTGTTATCAGTCTCGACTGTGAGGGTTATCTTAAAAAAAAGTATTTATTTAATTTCATGTGCATGTGTGTGCACCCGAGAATATGTACAGGCACCACATATATGCATGTGGAAGGTCAGAAGAGGAGCAGGATGCCCTGGATCTGCCATGTGGCTACTAGGAACTGAACTTGAGTCCTCTGCAAGAGCAGTAAGCGCTCCTAACCACTGAGCCATCTCTCCAGCCCCTGTGATGGTTCTCTGTTAATTGTCAACTCGACACAACCTAGAGTCACCTGGGAAGAGAGTCTGAGTGAAGGAGTGTCTAGATCTGGTTGGCCCAAGGGCATGTCTGTGAAGACCTTCTTACGCTCACTGATGTGGGAAGAACTGCCCACTGTGGGTGGCACCATTCCCTAGATTTGGGTCCTGGGGAAAGGGAGATAGCGAGCTGAGCACTAGCATGCATGCATCCTTTGCTTTCTGATCTTGATTATGGATGTCATGTGACCAGCTCCCTCAAGCTCCTGCTATGAGGGTCTGTGACTTGGAATTATGAGCTTCTCCCTGCAGTTGCTTCTATCACAGTGAAAGGAAATGAAACTAAGAAACCAACTAATTCAGAAAAAACAACAAGCTTTAAAAACGATTCCAGTCTTTATATGTTTAGGAACACCGAAATCTGATGCTAAAACCTTTTACCTATTCATAGGAAACAATCTGAAACACACCCAAGGAAATAATCTGAGATGAGCACCAGGGTTGGCACTCAGTCATGTTCACAGTTCATCTCATCCCATATTCTAAACACCCTGAGTGCCCACCAACAGGGAAGCCGTCATGCAAATTCCCATATAGCAGCTCAACAGGTGACTAGCAGACATTCTGGCAGCATGCTTTGCGGGGAAGTATTCCACCATCAGTGCCATGAGGAAGTAGTCCACCAAGAAGGGGAACCGAAACAACCAAGATCCAAAACCTTCTAAACAATGTGGCACCAGGTCTTAAAATACTAGAAAAAAACAAGGTAGACTAAGACGTGAACAGAGAGGCTCTCCAACTAAAACCCAAATCTTCTAGACTGGAGAGATGGCTCAGTGGCTAAGAGTACGCACTACTCTTACAGAGGACCTGGGGTCATTTCCCAGAACCCATATGCTGGCTCACAACCATCCATAACTCCAGATCCAGAGGAAACACTGCTTTCGACTTCCTCGGGCATGGTGTACAGACATATATACATATACATAAAATAAAACAAATATTAAAAAAAATAAACAAGCTGGGCGGTGGTGGCACATGCCTTTAATCCCAGCACTTGGGAGGCAGAGCCAGGCGGATCTCTGTGAGTTCGAGGCCAGCCTGGTCTATGGAGCGAGATCCAGGACAGGAACCAAAACAATACAGAGAAACCCTGTCTCGAAAAAAAACAAAAAACAAAACAAAAAAATAAATAAAAAATAAACAAACCTCAAATCTCCTAACTGGAAGTGTATCCTTTTAAATTCTGCATTTAAGATATGTCTCCACCTATTTTTTTCAACATTTGTATTTATTTTATTAATGTTATTTCAGTGTGTGTGTGTGTGTGTGTGTGTGTGTGTGTGTGTGTGTGTGTGTGTGTGTGCAGGTGCATGGGCGTGTGGAGGTCAGAGGTCAACCTCCAGAGTTCTCATCGCTTGTTCTCCATCTCATTTATTGAAGCCAGGTTTTTTGCTTGAACTCAGAGCTGGCTGACCTGACCAGTCTAGCTAGCCAGCTTGCTCCAGGGATTCCCCTGTCTCTGCCTCCTGTGTCCTGGGATTATAGGCGGCCTACCAAAATTGCTTGGCATTTACATGAGTGTTCTGGATCCAAACTCTGGCCCTCACCCTTGTCCAGTACCTCACTCTCCTGCCTGAGCCATCTCCCCAGCCCTGTTTTTATCTGTTTGAATGAGCATTTCTTTTCTTTGGATTCCAGGTTGTACTGTATGTGTGGAGGACCTGCCTGACTCAGCTGGCGATTGGCATACAGACGCGGGACACACCTGTGAGGCCATCCAGCTCCTATGTCCCTCTTGTCAGAAACCCACAAAATTCCCAAAGGAAAGTGAAGCGCTTGCCTTGTAGGAGAAGGAGCCCTCGCTGCTACTCAGGCTCATGGAGCTGCTGGTCGGTGGGAGCTGCTGCAGCTGCAGACCTGCGCTGTGGGCCCCGTCCATGGCTGTCTAGTGGCACATCTTGCCTGGCCGGGCGCTGGGGCTGCTGCTAGGCAGGGTGCAGATTGGAAGCCATCTCTCCCAGGGTCCACCTCCTTCCAGCAGCCTCCCAGGTCTCTTCCTCAGCAAAATGCGTTCTCTGGGCTCTTTTGCTTGATTCACAGCCTTCTCTTCAGGTTCCCCAAGAAAGGGGCAGCTCGTGTGTCTCTCCCAAGCAGAAGGGCGAGGGCGTGTCTTCTGACTCTGGCCAAGCTCTGGGTGGTGGAGAAGGACATGAAAAATTCATGCACATGAGACATAGCACCCAACTGCATTGCTTGAGAATGCTTTTCACGCAAAGCATGACTGGCCACCCAAAGGGGACCCTGAAGGCATGATTATCGGGCCTCTGACCTTCTGAATAAAGAGATATTCCTTGAAAAGCTTTATCCCTGGCCCTTAGACATCCCATTTCTTCTCCTCCTCCAGGACAAGATAAAAAAAACCACCTACATCCACTTCTCCAGGTCTCCAAAATCAATAAATAGATCCTATGAGCAGCATCAAAGAGGAGCCATCATTGGGTGTGGCAGCACATGCTTGCAATCCCAGCACTCAGGGGAGGCTGAGGCTGAGGCAGGAAGAACTATGGGATAGCCTGGGCTATATAATGAGGTCTTGTCTTAGAGCAAACCAAATGAACAGTAACAACAATAAGACTCAAACCAAATCAAACACCAAATCATGGGGTTTTCAACTTAGGAAGGAAAGAATGTGAAGAAAATCCTGGCATGGAGGGAGGGGGAGGGACACTGAACTGGGAGGTGGGACCAGATGTCCATGTCAGTTTGGCTGTGGGTGACTCAGCGTCTTATCTGTAAAGTGTGGATAGTCATGTGGCTTCAAGTAGGATGACAATCACCTTGTTAATGTCATTGGACTGGTGTTTTCAGTGTTTCTCAAACTTCTCCCAAACATAGAAAAGGAAATGTGTACCAAGAACTCATGGTCAAAATCCTACCACCATAGCCAAAGGTTCTGTGAAGTCTTCTTATGCTTAGAGAAAAAAAAAAAAATGAACATACAAACAAAATAACCCCTCCCCAAAGCACCAAACAAAATCCTTACGGATTTAGATTCTGTTGTATAATCTGTTTATTATGTTCTCTGTTGTAATCATTTATTATCGTCGTGGATGTGTGTGTATGAGTGCCATCATGTGCCTGTGGAGGTTGTGGGAGTCGGTTCTCTCCTCCCACAGTGGGTTTCAGGGATTGAACACAGGCTGTGTTTGACGAGTGCTTTCACCGCTGACCCACCTCACTGGCTCTGAACTGCTTTTGATCTGGCATGTGCTACCTTGGGTACCCTTGACCTGGTTACTCAACTTAGTCAGTTTCCTTAGCCATAAAATATGGCTCATGTTGTTTCTATCCCACAGGCTGCAGTAAGAATCTGATGGAATGTGGCATGTAAAGGTGACATCGTAGATGGCCGGCAGGTGCCAACTGCCACAAGCATTACTTTATTTAGTTCTTATTTTCTAACACTCTTTATTGTGTGTATGGGCATGCACGCATGCATGCATGACATAGCACACACGTGGAAGTCAGAAGACAACTTTGTGGAGTCCGTTCTTCCCACCCTACATGTTGGTCCTGGGGACTGAACTCAACTCATCAAGCTTAGCAGCAAGTGCCCTGACCCACTAAGCCAGTAAGGCCCATTCCCCAATTTAATCCTGTAGTTTATTCATATATATACACGTTCCTATCTCCCAAGTGTGCACCTGAGAAAGAGTCGAGGGCTCAGCATGTGCTAAACAGTCTCTGCCAAGGCCCAAGCTTCAAAACACTGTGTATCCCGTAGTTTCTAGTTCCTTCTGCCCCATGTTCCGTGCCTAGGAATGTCAATGGCGTGCACTCACGTCACAAGACAGACATCATGCCAGCACCTACAAGATGCCAAATGCAGGTTTAGTACAAGGCAGCCATAAAGACCTGTACCTTGTCAAAGGGCCGATAGTTAAATCATTGCTGCTGCTCCCATTTGAGACAGTATTCCTGCCCAAGACACGGCCATCAGGGAACTCGTTGACTCTGTTTCTTACCTGTAAAGCCCAATGAATATAGGATTGCCCAATGTCTGTGAAGGCATAATTACTTGTCACTAGATTGCATGTGTGCAAAAGCAATGCTATGTCTCTATCTCTGTCTTGGCATCATTAATGTGAGGGTGGTCTAGGGCTCCTTCTACCTGGGAGAGACCTAGAGCTGTATCCAGTCTGGAGTTGAAGGGGCCCTGGATTGAAGGCACCAGTCAGGTCCCCTGCTTCCTCTGGAGACCTAGCTCAGAGCCTGGCAAGGTGACTTGCATATATACCCACTCCTGACTAAATGTAGAGCCCCTGATATACTGCAGTTAAAAAAAAAAAAAAGACAAAACAAAACAAAAAAAGCCTTATTCAGGACGCATGACCACAAACAGATACCCGGCCCCACCCACAGGATGTCAGACAAAGCAAACAGGCCTTGGGGACCAGCTAGGAAGAACAGCAGGAATTCAGGCCTTCTAACCTTCTTCAGGCCAGCTGGTTCTCTCTCTCTCTCCCTCCTGCCCGTGTGTGTGTATGTGTGTGTGTGTGTGTGTGTGTGTGTGTGTGTGTGTGTGTGTTCACTGGCTTTTAAACAGCAGCTTCAGCAGCTTTCCCTCTCCACCTGCAGAACCCGCAGGGCTCCGAATGCACACAGAGAGGAGGGTCCTTCCTGGGCTAGCACAGAGTCACCCCAAAAGCCTCCGTGGACTCTGCAAGTTGCACCCCCTTATAAGGCTCACATTTTGGCCTGCTGTTTGGTGTTGGTTTCAAAGCACTTTTCCAGGACTGACATATGTCCAAGGGGCACACAGCCAACTCGGTGTTGACAGTCACAGCTCATGGTCATTGACCCAAGAAAGGAAAGAGAAGTCACCAAGTGCCTGCTTCCACTCCAATCCCCCGGCCTCATCAATGAATCACTCCTTAATCCCACCGAGCAAGTTTTCCAGAGAGAAAAACAGAGCCTCACGGGCATGAAAAATAGTCAGTTTAGAAATTAGCTGTAACTGAAAACAAGGGTGTGTGTGTGTGTGTGTGTGTGTGTGTGTGTGTGTGTGTGTGTGTGTGTGTGTGTGTGTGTGCAGGGAGGTCTTGTCAACACCTGACGATTTAGTTTGACTAGAGAATATCGGTTTCATGCCAAGCTTTCCCTTCCCGAGGCTTTTGAGCACCGAAGGGTGGCATTCTCGGGTCCTTTCCCATTGAGCTGGACATTCGAGCGCCCGAGAGACACACCTCTGTTCCAAGCACACGGCTCCGTCCATCCATCTGTGAGCTGCACCGGCTATTTCCAGCATGCTGGAGCCGGCAGTGCCTTCCACTTCCTCGTCTGGTAACGCCCAGAATCACCTTCATTAAGGCAAACCCGTGCCCACTCTCCTTGCAAATATGGAAGAAAAAAAAAATCGGAGGCAACAGGACCCAAGCCAACAAGGCTGGCCACAGCAAGGGAGATCGAATTTATATACTAGGGGGTTGTCAGATAGCTAAAAATGCGCTGCTTTTCCTAAAACATCAAGCCTGAATTTAAGTTCCCCTTCCCTCAGTCTTGACCACGACTCACCCGCGGCGTTGCTTCTAGATCCACCTATCCCAGGTTCCGGAGAAGCGACCGGGACACTCCGTGCCACCCCGAGGTACAGCCTCCTGGATCCCTTCCCAGCTCCGAGTTGCCAGGGGGCTGCTGTCAGTGTTTTGCTTTCAAAGGTCGAGACTTGATTTGTCACCCTGTCTGCCAGTCCCAAGCTGGCCGAGCTTCTGCGCAGGCGAGTGGCTGTCGGGAGGGGATGGGCGGGATATCCTGAGAAAATTGGCTGCGCCGCCAAGCTCGCTTGAAGCGTAGGGCCGAGACCTGGCGCTCACCTGGAGGAGTCCCCTCTAGTGGCCAAGGGAAGAAGTCCCGACTGCTTTGGTTCCCGGGCTGTGGCAGCTCACCTCCACCTGCCGGACAGGTGGGATGGGCTTGAGCAGTCCGCCGGGTGTCCCCGCAACCTGCGCTAACAACCACAATCCCGGGAGGTGTCCCTGCTGCTTCCCACCAGGTAGTGAGTCCCTCAACATCGACAGCCAGCAGAGCCTTTACGTGTCTCGGGGACCATGCGTACCCCTTCTTCCCTGCGCCTGCGTCCCACCTGTTGGCTGTATTGTATCCGTAATCTCCCAGCACGCCTGCTGCTCAGCAGTCCCAGAGGGCTGTCAATCATCCTAGCCCTACTCTGCGGTTTCCCAGGGGTCCAGCTGTGACCCTGAACCTGCTCGCGGAGCTTCCAGCGCGCACATTTTTTTTCTGCACACGCTATTCGGTTCAGAGCAACCTCTGGGGGAGAGTTTTACGAGGAAATGACATTGGAGCGACCTCGACCATGGGAAGGGGCTCAGGTGTGGGGCCAGTAGAGCTGAGAGGGAGCACTTAAGAGAGGCTGGAGCTGCCATATTGTATTATGGGAGATGCCTAAAGACCAGCTGGGCTGGTGCAAGATTTTTTTTCTTGAGGCGTGGGTGGCAGGAGCTGTGATCAGGGGAACGCGCCGAAGACAGTTTATAATAAAAGGCGTATCCCATAAATTTAAAGGGGCCACCGGTGAGTCCAAGCCGGGCTGCGAAGGCGCACTGTGGCGGCGGTGAAACGGGTAAGGGGCTCTTGGAAAACTGCACGGTTGCCCTTGAGGACTGTGTCATCAACCCTTTCTCACACTCAGGGCGTGGATGGATACAAATACTCAGGTCTATTCCTTGGGGAGGATTTTCTGAGTGAGCAAAATTCCTAAGCCTTTGGTTCTGAGAATTTTAAGGAGTCATCAGAACAACAGCAACAGCCACAAAACCCCAAACTCAGAAACAAAACCCCTAAATAGTTCTCTGCCTCAGGTCCTGGCATAATCAACCCAAACCCTAAAATTCTGGTAGCTTCTCTGCTGATTTTGAAACGGCTCTAACGATTGGCCAACAGCTTTTCACGTTAGAGAAACAGAGGGCATCATTGGCTAGAGTTAGCCATCCGCCTGCCACCGGACCCTGGAATGTTAGGCCAGTGGTTGCCATAGCGACTGAACGGCGAGAGGCTAGACTGACTAGGTAGGAGCCAGCTCCTGTTGGAGGGGCCGGTCCTTGAGGTCGTGAGGAGGACTCAGCGCACTCCATGGGACACCCACTGAGACCTCCGGACTCTGGGTGCGTGCGGAATCTCTGTGACCAACTGGGTGGTGCCTCCAGAGCCAGAGGGTGCCACTTGGGGTGGGGGTGGGGGTCAGTGTATGCCTCAGTGTACCCATCTGAAAAGTGCTGCCAACTATGGTTCGCCTTCCCTTCAGACCCCATGAGTGGTCTGGACATCTGACTCCCCCGTTTCAGTCTTTGAGCGGCACCGGTTCTGGGCTGCACACGGGTAGACCACCAGCAGTTCTGATAGAACCTCTCTGGTACATTGGGTCTTTCTCAGCAAGTCTCCCTTAATCGGGGGCCCCATTTTACCCATCTGTGAAATGAAAGGGTGAGACTGGAATCTTGGGCCACTCGCCAGCTGCTGTAGTTTGATCTAGGCCTCCGACACACTCTCTAATACCTAATGGTCTCCCACTTCCCTCAGGAAGGATGTTTTAGGTTGGAGGAAATCAGTGTAGATTCTAGGCCATTGACCACCCATCACGTGCAGGAGGCTCACCTGGGCAGCATCCTGTCCAGAGTCAGGCCCAACCTATTCTCTACCGAGTGCCTCGGGATTCCATGGAAAACTGGAAAACAAGGTTGACAGTGTTAGCTTTGGGCGGTAGGATAGTGTATTATTTGACATTTTTGTAATTTCTTAAATTTTCTAAAAATCTGATAATTCGCATGAGAAGCAAAATTTCTTTTTTAAATCGCTTGCATTTTTTTTTTTTTTTTTTTAAAGACACTTCTCACTCTGTAGCCCTGACTAGCCGGGAATGCGCTATGGAGGACTGGTCTCAGACTCACAGAGTTCCAGTCACCTCTGCCTCCTGAGAGCTGGCATTAACTAACTAATCCACCACACTAGACTTCCACAATGATTTTTGTTGCCGGTTTTTAAACTAACTTTTGTTTACTTTAAGTCTATAGATATATTGTCTACATAGGTGTCTGTGCACCATGTACATGCCTGTGCCAGAAGAGGGCATCGGATCTCTTGGACTGGAGTTACATATGGTTGTGGGTCTCCATATGAATGCTTGGAATCGAACTTAGGTCCTTTGGGGGGGAAAAAAAACAACCACTGGGCCATCTCTCCTGCACTGTCATTTTGATTTTTGAGATAGGGTCTTAACATATAGCCCAAGCTGGCCTCGAACTCAGTGTGTAGACCAGGCAAACCTTGAACTTCTGATTCTTTTGCCTCTTCTTCTTCTTCTTCTTCTTCTTCTTCTTCTTCTTCTTCTTCTTCTTCTTCTTCTTCTTCTTCTTCTTCTTCTTCTTCTTCCCGAGACAGTGTTTCTCTGTGTAGTTTTGGTGCCTGTCCTGGATCTTGCGCTGTCTGGATCTCAACTAGGCTGGCCTCGAACTCACAGAGATCCGCCTGGCTCTGCCTCCCGAGTGCACCACCACCGCCCAGCTTGCCTCTACTTCTTGAGTGCGTGGATTACAATATGTGCTGCTGCTGCTGCTGCTGCTGCTGCTGATGATGATGATGATGATCACCCCAGGACTTTGTGCTTGTTGGACCATATTCTACCAAAGGAGCCACATCCCCAGCATTCTCAAACTACTTCTGTATTACAGCAGGGCTGCAAAGAGTTCTTACTAAAATAGCAAGGTCACACTGCAGTGTGAGAAGTGAATCCTGAGTGCTTTCAGAGACACTAAAAGATGTTCTAGGGTCATTATTGATCGTTGTCCTGAAATATCTTAATGTCTTAAAGCTGTTGTTAAAATCTTCCGTTATCCAAAAAGGCTACAAATTGCAGCTGTGAAGGTGAATTCAGCAAGGAGCACACGCTGAGGAAGAAAGGTCTAGACAGACCTTTGTTTACTTAGTGCTCCATTCCTAGATGATGTGAGTTCCTTCTGGGGAAAGGGTAGAGTGAATCCTGAGTCTGCCCATGAAAAATTAACTGCTTTAGGGATGAAAGTGTTTGTGCCATTGACAACTAAAACAAAACAAAACAGCCCCAGCCACACAGATTAGAAAACTCTTGACTGTCAGGCAGCAGGTGGCATGATGATGCAGTCCCCGAGGGATGCTCCCTTCACGTAGTGAGGGAGGAGTTTCCGGAGTGCCCCACAGGCTGGACGGGAAGGGAAGCCGACTCTAGCTTTCTGAGTTGAGGTGTATTAGAGATTGCACCTTGGATGGCCACACAGCCTGTTTGTTGAGAGCTTGGTCCCTGGTCTTTGGTGGTATTGGTGTGGGGGGTGGTGAACCTTTATTTGGTGGCATTGGGGTGGGGGTGGTGGATCTTTATTTGGTGGTATTGGAGTGGGGGGTGGTGGACCTTTATTTGGTGGTATTGGGGTGGGGGTGGTGAACTTTTATTTGGTGGTATTGGGGTGGGGGTGGTGGACCTTTATTTGGTGGTATTGGAGTGGGGGGGGTGGACCTTTATTTGGTGGTATTGGGGTGGGGGTGGTGGATCTTTATTTGGTGGCATTTGGGTGGGGGTGGTGGATCTTTATTTGGTGGCATTGGGGATTGTGAACCTTTAGAAGGCGGGTCCTAGAGGAAGGAAGTTGTCACTGGGCAGGTAATCTGGAAGGAGATATTGGGACCTGGTCCTTTCCTGTTCCTTTTTTTTTTCTCCTTCCTGGATGCTATGCAATGAAGAGACCCCTTCCACTATGTTGTGTTCCTGATGTCATGTACGGTGCTGACACAGTCCCTGAGCACCAGGACCAGTGGCTGGGGACCGAAACCCTTGAAGCTGTGAGCCAATGCAAGTCTTTGGTATTTTGTGCCAGTGATAGGAGGCCACCAACATAAGGACATGGAGGTCAGAGTTTAGAAAAGCCGAAGAACCCAGAATATGGGTTCTCCTCTAAAATACCAGAGGAGAAAGTTGCATAGAAAAACCGTTGGCAACCTGAAGAGATCTCTTTGAGTCTTGGCTGAAGAACGACCTCCCCAAGCTTGAGAAGTGTCCAACAAGGTAGCAGGAGGCAGGCCATTTCCTGTGGTCACATAACTGATTATATTCATGTTCCCATAAGCCAGAATGGAGGGACAATGTCAGATAAGGGATGGGCAGACTCTACGGAAGTGTCATGCCTAGTGACTGAGGGTGTGGTTCAGTTGGCAGAGTCTTGCCTAGCATGCATGTATGAATCCCTGAATTTGATTCCCAGTACCACATACAGGGGCATGGATGGTGGTGTATGCCTGCAATCCATCAGTCAGTAGAGAGAGTGGCAGAAGGATCAGAAGTTCAAGGTCATCCTTTGCTGTATAGTGAAATTGCCAGCCCGGGCTATAAGAGACACTGTTAAAAGGAAAAAAAAAAAAAGTATCACACCTTACTAGTGAAGATAAACTTATTCCAGAATAAAAGTTTTTCTGAATCTTTCAAAGTTTGAAAACTTGCAAGGGTCAAATGAATCTTCAAGTTACTAAAAATAAAGCCAGGAGCCTGAACAGATGAGCACTGGCTGCTCTTCCAGAGGTCCTGAATTCAATTCCCAGCAACCACATGGTGGCTCACAACCATCTGTAATAGGATCTGATGCCTTCTTCTGGCATGCAGGTGTACATGCAGAGCACTCATACATAAAATATAAATAAATTTTAAAAAGGAGTCAGGAATACCTTTGAATGTGAAAGAATGGCATTTTCATACAATCTAGACCCAGTACAAAGATCCAGGACAATGTGACCCCAAGCAGGGGAGCAGTGTGCCAGCCATGACACACGTGACAGAATCAGCAGAAAAGGGCCTCCACAGAAGTGTTGCAGGAGCTGAGGGAGAGCACGGTCATCCCGAGGCTGGACAGGAAGGTCTTTTTAAAAACAGAAAGAGAGGAAAAGATGCTGCCTAGGGGTGCAGGGACGGGTTAGTTTTCTCTGCTGGTTAAAGAATTAAAAGGCAGTAGAGAAGTGTTATCCAGGATCTTGGGGAGTCCCACCAGATCCCCATACATATGATAGCTGGGTAATCAGGGCTTCTTCTTGGGGGTCTCAGTTTCATTAAGAATTTAAGAATGAACATAACTGCCGGGCGGTGGTGGCACACGCCTTTAATCCCAGCACTCGGAGGCCGAGGCAGGCGGATCTCTGTGAGTTCGAGGCCAGCCTGGTCTACAGAGTGAGTTCCAGGACAGGCACCAAAGCTACACAGAGAAACCCTGTCTCGAAAAACCAAAATAAAAATAAAAAAGAATGAACACAACACAAGCTCGAGGACTAAGACCTGACTCAAACTGAAGCTTGGGACAACGTGTTAGAGTTTGAAAGGAGAAGCCCAGGTGAGCCGTAAACCTCACAGCTGCCCGGAGGGGAGGAGCAGGATGGAGGAGAGAAGCGGGGATGGAGGTCAGTGACATGGCAGGGGCAAGATCTTTAGAAAAGACTAAGGACGCTCAAAGCATTAGGGAGTTTTAAAGCACACTTGACTCTGGCCGGCATCTGAAAGAAAATGAAGAAATCGTTGCACCTAGGTGGTCAGATCCACAGAACCCCAGGGCGGCT